ACGGTCTTGCAAAGGCTGTCAATTCTAACTATGGAAAGAGGAAGATGAAGCAAACAGCAAACAAATATCTCGATCAAGCAATCGATTCTTTTGCTAATGATATGAGTACAAAAATCGGAGGGAGAGTTTATGATGTTAATGAAGTGTTACCAATGTCAATGTATGCTCCGATGGTGTTAATGATCCGACACACCCTCTTTATCAAGGAGGATCCTTCGATATTCACAAAGCTATCGGAAATCTACCAAAACCGAAGAAGGGTTGGACTCTTCCAGGTCATAAGTATACAGGACCGTACAACGACCTTGCAAATCAAGTGAGGTATAACCCTCAGACGGGTGAGATTTTGGAGATTTTTGATAAGCCAAGAGGACCGACTGACGCTGTCGCTATGCAACACGACGTCGATTACAGCGTCTGTGCAAACAAGACAGACCCAAAGAAGTGTAAGAATGCGGCTGACCGTAAGATGGTTAAAGCTCTCGATGCGATTCCAAAAGGTGAGAGACAGGGTGGGCATTGGGCTGCGAGAAACATCATCAATACCAAGCAGAAGCTTGGTCTGGGTGTGGGGAAAAAAAAAAGTTCACTCACTGAAGGGTTGGCATTCTGCCAAAGATTGGCAAGAGGAATTAGCAGAGGAGTTGCACAGACCGGTGAGGCGAAACTTTAGAAAGCGACGCGTTATTGTTAAAGGAATCGATGAGATTTGGTGCTCCGACTTGGTTGAGATGCAGAAATTCAGCAGATGGAATGAGGGTTTTAGATATCTGTTGATGGTTTTGGATGTCCTCAGCAAATACGGCTGGATCGTTCCGTTGAAGAACAAGAAGGGTGAGAGTGTTTCGGAGGGGTTCAGAAAGGTTTTTGCTGGAGGGAGAAGACCGAAGAGACTCTGGGTTGACAAGGGTTTGGAGTTTTACAACATTCATGTTAAAGATCTGATGAAAGCTGAAGGTGTTGAGATGTACTCGGCAGAGAATGAGGAGAAATCGTCTGTCTGTGAGAGGTGGAATCGAACGATCAAAACGGAGATGTGGAAGCAGTTTACCATTCAGAACAACACACAGTATCTCAACATTCTGCCAAAGACTGTCAAGAAGTACAACAATCAAAAACATAGATCAATCGGCATGACTCCGGCAGAGGCTTCCAAGAAAAATAATGAGAATACCGTCTTTCTAAAACTCTATGGTGATCTGAGCGGGTTGCGAGAGAAACCAAAGTTTGTGGTTGGTGATCATGTTCGAATCTCCAAATTCAAGCGAAAAGTGTTTGATTAAGGATTTACCCCGAATTGGACAGAGGAGATTTTCGTCCTTGACGAGGTGCAATATTCCAACCCGATCACTTACAAGTTGAGGGATCTGCTCGGGGAAGAGATCAAAGGTTCTTTCTACGAACAGGAGATGTTGAGAGCAAAGCAGGATGTTTTCCGCATTGAGAAGGTTATTCGAAGGAGTAAAGGGAAAGCTTTCGTGAAGTGGAGTGGTTACCCAGAAAAATTCAACTCATGGATTGATGAGAGAGAACTTCAGGGGGTATGAAAAAAAAAAAAGAAAATGGTTTAAAAAAAAATGTTTGATAATAAACAAGAGGGATAAGCTTGAGTATTTTTCAAAGCGTGCACTCTTGAGAAAGGCAAAGGAGATGGGACTGCAACGATGTTATTTGCTTGACAAAAAGAGTTGATTGATCTGATCAAAAATCCACCCGAGTTGGATTATCTTGAAACTCTGTCAAAAAACGAACTCATCGAAAAAGCAAAAGAGATTGGAGTGCAAGGATATTCCAAGAAGAATAAAGGAGAGTTGATTGAACTGATTAGAAATCCTCCACCTCCTCGCGCAAGACATATTGGTGTGAGGAAAAAGTAACACTTCAACCTACAGATTCAGAAGGGGAAGAACTCGTTTTCCCCTCAATCAGTGCTGCTGCGAAACACTTCAATGTAAACCCTGGAATGTTTCCAGCGAGGTTGAGATCACGCAAAGAGAGTATAAGAAACTTCATTACACTTGATGGAAGGAAATTTGCTCTCCGTTTCGAAGCTTACCGTTTGAAAGAGTAAAGCGTTAAACACACTCTCATTGAAAGATTTTTCAATGAGAGTTTTCATCACTTGAAACGAGTGATGAAAATAGTAAAAAAAAATGGTAAACAAAAATATTTTAAAAAAATATTTACACCATAATAGATATACAATGGAGAAAAAACTGTTGTGCAACTTCGTCAGATTGCAAAAGAGAGGAACCTTCGCGGCTACTCGAGACTTCGAAAAGCAGAGCTCATTGACTTGTTGAGTTCAAGAGGGATTGTTAATTTCATTGAGGAGGGGGTTGTGGAGAAAAACACTGTTTCACAACTTCGTCGGATTGCAAAAGAGAGTGGTCTTCATGGCTACTCGAGACTACGAAGAGCAGAGCTCATTGACTTATTGAGACGGCATCGTTTCAAATCTGTTGAGAGCAGATCTTCATTGAAAGGGCTTGCAAATCAGTACACGATTGATGGGGTGGGAGGTTATGGGCCGGTAGATTTTCTTCAGGCTGTAAAACCGACCGTTATCGATTTTCTATTAACGCAGAAGAGTATCAAGATGAATCTCACCCTGAGGTGTAACATGTCAAAGACAAACATTACGACGGGTGAGACTGTGATAAAGCCTGCATATTTTACCTCTTTCGTGGAGATTGTATTTCAAGAGACTGATCGAGAAGAGCTTTATCAGAAATGTGTTGACAAAATGATGGAGAGTTTGGCTACGTTTACAAGAGAGGGGAGCGGTTGGGTTGTACATTCGATTGCGGGGTTGGATTTGCATACAGTGAAATACAACCCTTTGAGAGGCTCTTCGTTCATTAAGCTACCAAAACATCTCGCAAATAAGCAGGCTATCATAAACATGAAGAATGAGGATGATGAATGTTTCAAATGGTGTGTCACAAGAGCTTTGAATCCTGTGGAAAAGAACCAAGAGCGTATCTCAAAAACACTGAGAGAGCAGGCAAAGAAGCTTGTGTGGCATGGGATTAAGTTTCCAATGAAGGTGAAGAGCATTCACCGCTTTGAAACTCTGAATCCAAGTCTTGCTATCAACGTCTACATGTATGAAGGTGGTCTCAAACCCTTGAGAGTGAGCAACGTTGAGAGTAGCAAACCCCGCATTCATCTTCTTCTCATTACTAGTAATGATGAAAAGGAAAAGTATTACTGTCTCATCAAAAATCTAAGTCGACTCATATCGAATGGGAGTACCAACAAGAAGTTTATCTGTTAGAGATGTCTTAATTTTTTCAGTTCTCAGAAAGTGTTAGACACACATATTAAACTCTGTCGAGAACATGAGGCTGTGAGAGAGAAGATGTCAAAGGATGGGACTTCTCTCCCTTTCAAAAACCACCACAAGAAGATGGATATGCCGTTCGTCATCTATGCTGACTTTGAGTCGATCATCAAACCTTTGCACACCATTCACCCGAATCCTAAGGAGTGTTATACTGAAAAGAAACAGAAACATATCCCAGTGAGTTTTTGCTACTTTGTCAAGTGCTCTTATGATGACAGGTATTCGAAACTGGTTGAGTACACAGCAAAGTCTGAGGATGAGGATGTTGCACAGATATTTGTTAACATGCTTGAAAAGGAGGTTAAGGCAATATACAAAAACCATCCCGCAAAAGAGATGATCTTCACAGACGATGTTGAAATATTTGAAAACGCGATGTGTTGTTGGATCTGCGGAGAACATTTCAAGAAGGGAGATGAAAAAGTTCGTGATCATTGTCATTATACCGGCAAATTTCGAGGAGCTGCACATAACAGTTGCAACCTGAGATTCCGACGTCCGAAATTCACTCCTGTTGTCTTCCACAACTTGGCAAACTATGACGCGCATCTCTTCATTAGTAATCTCGGCGTTTCAGAGGGTGACATTGATTGCATTCCCAACAACGAAGAAAAATACATCAGCTTCAAAAAGAGTGTTGTGGTTGACAAGTTTTCGATAAAAAGAGAGGGAAAGACGTTGATGTTAAGAGAGAGTTGAGGTTCATTGACAGCTTCAAATTTATGGCTTCTTATCTTGGCCAGCTTGTCAACAACCTCACCAAAAGTGGTGACTCTTTTGAGAATATCGGAAGATACTTCGATGGAGAGAAGCTTGATCTGTTGAAGAGAAAGGGTGTCTACCCTTAATTACAAGTGGTTGAATTCTATCGATAGACTTGATGAGACTAAACTTCCGCCGATTGAAGCTTTCTTCTCTGTTCTCAGCGGTAGTGGTATCTCTGAAGAAGAGTATAACCACGCGCAAGAAGTATGGAGAACCTTTGGAATGAAGACGATGCGAGATTATCACAATCTCTATAATCGAAGTGTTGTTCTCCTTCTCTGCGACGTTTTTGAAAACTTTCGAAAGGTTTGTAAGGAGAACTACGACCTCGACCCCTGTTGGTACTACACCGCACCTGGGTTGGCTTGGGATGCATGTCTCAAGATGACTGGGATAGAGCTTGAGCTGTTGAGTGATGTAAATATGTTGCATATGTTTGAGAAGGGTATTCGTGGAGGGGTTTCGATGGTTACGAAAAGATACTCGAAAGCCAACAACAGATACATGGGTGAGAAGTTTGACAAGAGCAAACCTTCAAAGTTTATCACATATCTTGACGCAAACAACCTCTATGGTTGGGCGATGAGTAAGAGTCTACCAACGCATGGTTTCAAATGGGTAGATGAGAAAGACTTTGAAGATTGGAAGAATTTTCCTTGTATTCTTAAGGTTGACTTGCTTCCTATCGACAAAGAGCTGTACGATCACTTTGACGACTACCCCCTCGCTCCTGAGAACTTGTTGGTTGGTAAAGTTCATAAGCTGGTCTGCACCTTGAATGGTAAAAAGAAGTACATCATTCACCGTGAGACTGAAGCTTTACATGAGTCTTGGTGCTAAGATCGGAAAGATTCACCGCATCATCAGGTTTGAAGAGAGTCCTTGGATGAAAAAGTATATCGATTTGAACACAGAGTTGAGAGCTAAGGCTGATAACGATTTTGAGAAAGACTTTTTCAAACTCATGAACAACTCTGTATATGGTAAGACGATGGAGAATATTCGGAAACGGGTTGATGTGAGACTTGTCAACTCAGAAGAGAAGGCGGAGAAGTTGGTAAATAAGGTCAACTTCAAACACTGCACCATCTTCTCTGAGAATCTCTGCACGATTGAGATGAGAAAGACACAAATTCTCTTCAACAAACCTCTCTATCTCGGAATGTGTATCCTCGATCTCAGCAAGACTCTGATGTATGATTTTCATTACAACTACATCAAATCCAAATACGGAGACAGAGCAGAGCTTCTCTTCACCGACACTGACACTCTTTGCTATGAGACTCAGACCGAAGATTTTTACAAAGATATAATTAATGACGTGGATTCTCTGTTTGACACGAGCAACATTCCAAAGGAGCATTCTTCTGGGATACCAACTGGGGTGAACAAGAAAGTTATTGGAAAGTTCAAGGATGAGGCGGGTGGAAAAATCATTGAGAAGTTTGTCGGTCTGAGGGCGAAGCTGTACAGTTACAAGATGTTTGATGGAGGAGATGAGAAGAAGAAGTGTAAGGGAGTGAAGACGGGAGTTGTGGAGAGTACCATGAGCTTGGATGACTATGAGAGATGTCTGTTTGGTGGTGGAAAACAGTATCGAAAGATAAATACCCTCAGAGGTCGAAAGCATGAGATGGGTATGGAGGAGATTAACAAAGTCGCCTTGTCCGCCGATGATGACAAACGAATTATTCTTTCAAACAGAGTGAAAACACACTCATTCGAACGCCAGCCGGTCTGAATAATTTGAATTATTATGAAATAAAGCGAAAAGATCATTTTGTACTAAATTATCGTGACAGTACGATAATTTAACGAAAATGAGCCAGATCTCCGCTTAAAGGGATACTAAATTATCGTAATCACGCGATAATTTATCCATTTTGAGTTAGAACTCTGCTTAAAGAGGTACTAAATTATCGTAGCCATGCAATAATTTATCGTAAAAGGATGTTTTTTGGTTAAAAATTATCGTAAAAGATAATTTTAACCAAAATCCAAAATCAAATTCTTAACCAAAATCGAAAATGAGCTCAGCCATTATTTTTCATACTACTGGCATGCGTCAGAGTGAGGCACATGTGCGAAAGAGGGGGGTGAGCCTTGTAATCACGCGCGCCACTTCCACGAAATGCATGACAACGCGGCCAAAATGGAATCCCAGGCTCACTAGACCCAGGGGAGTTAGTTGGGGGAATACATGCGCAGCTGCGGGAGGTCACGGCCGCCGGAGTGGCATGCGTGATAGTGAGGCACATGTGCGAAAGAAGGGGGTGAGCTTTGTAATCACCCATGCCATTTCCACGAAACGCATGACATCGCGGCCAAAATGAAATCCCAGGTGCACTAGACCCAGGGGAGTTGGGGAATAGACGCGCAACTCCGGGAAGTCACGAGCGCCGGAGTGGCATGCGTGAGAGTGAGGCACATGTGCGAAAGAAGGGGGTGAGCCTTGTACTCACGCATGCCACTTCCACGAAACGCATGACAACGCGGCCAAAATGGAATCTCACATGCACTAGACCCAGGGGAGTTAGTTGGGGAATAGACGCGCAACTCTGGGAGGTCACGGGCGCCGGAAAGGCATGCGTGAGAGGGAGAGGCTGTGCACTATGAGGCATATGCGCGAAAGAAGGGCATGAGCCTTGTACTCACGCATGCCACTTCCACGAAACGCATGACAACGCGGCCAAAATGGAATGCCAGGTGCACTAGATCCAGGGAAGTTAGTTGGGGAGTAGATGCGCAATTCCGGGAAATCAGGGGCAGCGGAATAGCATGCGTGAGAGTGAGAAGCTGTGCACTATGAGGCACATGTGCGAAAGAAGGGGGTGAGCTTTGTACTCACGCATGCCACTTCCATGAAACGCAGGACGACGCGGCGAGAGTGGAATCCCAGATGCACCAGACCCAGGGGACCTGGCGAATAGACGCGCAACTCCGGGAAGTCACGAGCGCCGGAGTGGCATGCGTGAGAGTGAGGCACATGTGCGAAAGAAGGGGGTGAGCCTTGTACTCACGCATGCCATTTCCACGAAACGCAAGACAACGCGGCCAAAATGAAATTCCAGGTTCACTAGACCCAGGGGAGCTCGTTGGGGAATAAACGCGCAACTCCGGGAAATCAGAGACAGTGGACTGGCATGCGTGACAGTGAGAGGCTGTTCACTATGAGGCACAGGTGCGAAAGAAGGGGGTGAGCCTGGTAGTCACGCATGCCATTTCCGCGAAACAAATGACAACGCGGTCAAAATGGAATCCCAGGTGCACTAGTCCCAGGGGAGTTGGGGAATAGACGCGCAACTCCAGGAAGTCACGGGCGCCGGAGTGGCAAGTGTGAGAGTGAGGCACATGTGCGAAAGAAGGGGGTGGGCCTTGTAATCACGTATGACACTTCCACGAAGCGCATGACAATGCGGCCAAAATGGAATCCCAGGTGCACTACACCCAGGGGAGTTGGGGAATATACGTGCAACTCCGGGAAGTCACGGGCGCCGGAGTGGCATGCGTTAGAGTGAGGCACATGTGCAAAAGAAGGGGGTGAGCCTTGTAATCACGTACGCCACTTCCACGAAACGCATGACAACGCGGCCAAAAAGGAATCCCAAGTGCACTAGACCCAGGGGAGTTAGTTGAGGAATAGAAGCGCAACTCTGGGAGGTCACGCGCGCCGGAGTGGCATGCGTGAGAGTGAGAGGCTGTGCACTATGAGGCACATGTGCGAAAGAAAGGCATAAGCCTTGTACTCACGCATGCCACTTCTACGAAACGTATGACAACGCGTCCAAAATGGAATCCCAGGTACACTAGACCCAGGGGAGTTAGTTGGGGAATAGACGCGCAACTCCGGGAAGTCAGGGGCAGCGGTGTGGCATGCGTGAGAGTGAGAGGCTGTGCACTATGAGCCACATGTGCGAAAGAATGGGGTGAGCCTTGTAGTCACGCATGCCACTTCCACAAAACGCATGACAACGCGGCCAAAATGGAATCCTAGGTGCACTAGACCCACAGGAGTTGGGGAATAGACGCGCAACTCCGGGAAGTTACGGGCGCCGGAGTGGCATGCGTAAGAGTGAGGCACATGTGCGAAAGAAGGGGGTGAGCCTTGTAGTCACGCATGCCACTTTCACGGAACGCATGACAATGCGGCCAAAATGGAATCCCAGGTGCACTACACCCAGGGGAGTTGGGGAATATACGTGCAACTCCGGGAAGTCACGGGCGCCGGAGTGGCATGCGTTAGAGTGAGGCACATGTGCAAAAGAAGGGGGTGAGCCTTGTAATCACGTACGCCACTTCCACGAAACGCATGACAACGCGGCCAAAATGGAATCCCAGGTGCGCTACATCCAGGGGAGTTAGTTCGGGAGTAGACGCGCAACTCTGGGAAGTCAAGGGCGCCGGAGTTGCTTGCGAGAGAGTGAGAGGCTGTCCACTATGAGGCACACGTGCGAAAAAAAGGGGATGAGCCTTGTACACACGCATGCCACTTCCACGAAACGGATGACAACGCGGCCAAAATGGAATCCCAGATGCATTAGACCCAGGGGAGTTAGTTGGGGAATAGACGCGCAACTCAGGGAAATCAGGGGCAGCGGAGTAGCATGCGTGAGAGTGAAAGGCTGTGCACTATGAGGCATATTTGCGAAAGAATGGGGTGAGCCTTGTAGTCACGCATGGCACTTCCACGAAACGCATGACAACGCGGCCAGAATGGAATCCCAGGTGCACTAGAACCAGGGGAGTTAGTTGGGGACTAGACGCGCAACTCCGGGAACTCACGGGCGCCGGAGTGGCATGCGTGAGAGTCAGACGCTGTGCTAAACAAGGGGGTCAGCCTTGTACTGACGCATGCCACTTCCACGAAACGGCTCACAACGCGGCCAAAATGGAATCCCAGTTTCACTAGACCCAGGAGAGTTGGGGATAGACATGCAGCTCCGGGAAATTACGGGCGCCGGAGTGGCATGCGTGACAGTCAGAGACTGTGCACTATGAAGCACATGTGCGAAAGAAGGGGGTCAGCCTTGTACTGACGCATGCCACCTCCACGAAACGCCTAACAACCCGGCCAAAATGGAATCCCAAATGCACTAGACCCAGGGGAATTGGGGAATAGACGTGCAACTCCGGGAAATCACGGGCGCTTGAGTGGCATGCGTGAGAGTCAGAGGCTGTGCAAAACAAGAGGGTCAGCTTTGTACTGACGCATGCCACTTCCACGAAACGCCTGACAACGCGGTCAAAATGGAATCCCAGGTTCACTAGACCCAGGGGAGTTGGGGAATAGACCTGCAAGTCCAGGAAATCACGGGAACCGGAGTGGCATGCGTGAGAGTCAGAGGCTGTGCGAAAGAAGGGGGTCAGCCTTTGACTGACGCATGCCACTTCCACGAAACGCCTGACAACGCGGCCAAAATGAAATCCCAGGTGCACTAGATCCAGGGGAGTTGGGGAATAGACACGCAACTCCGGAAAATCACGGGCGCCGGAGTGGCATGCGTGAGAGTCAGAGGCTGTGCGAAAGGAGGGGGTCAGCCTTGTACTGACGCATGCAACTTCCACGAAAGCCTGACAACGCGGCCAAAATGGAATCCCAGGTGCACTAGACCCAGGAGAGTTGGGGAATAGACGCGGAACTCCGGGAAATCACGGGTGCCGGAGTGGCATGCGTGAGAGTTAAAGGCTGTGCGAAAGAAGGGGGTCAGCCTTGTTCTGACGCATGCCACTTCCACGAAACGCACGAAAACGCGGCCAAAATGGAATGCCAGGTGCACTAGACCGAGGGGAGTTGGGGAATACACGTGCAACTGCGAGAGATCACGGGTGCTGTAGTGGCATGCGTGATAGTCAGAGGCTGTGGGAAAGAAGGTGGTCAGCGTTGTACTGACGCATGCCACTTCCACGAAACCCCTGACTACACGGCCAAAATGGAATCCCAGGTGCATTACACCCAGGGAATTTGGGGAATAGACGCGCAACTCCGGCAAATCACGGGCGCCGAGGTGGCATGCGTGAGAGTAATAGGCTGTGCGAAAGAAGGGGGTCAGCCTTGTACTGACGCATGCCACTTCCACGAAACGCCTGAAAACGCGGCCAAAATGGAATCCCAGGTGCACTAGACACAGGGGAGTTGGGGAATAGACGCGCAACTCTGGGAAATCACGGGCGCAAGAGTGGCAAGCGTGAGAGTCAGATGCTGTGCGAAAGAAGGGGGTCAGCCTGGTCCTCACGCATGCCACCTCCATGAAACCCCTGACAACGCGGCCAAAATGGAATCCGAGGTGTACTAGACCCAGAGAAGTTGGGGAATAGACGCGCAACTCTGGGAAATCACGGGCGCCGGAGTGGCAAGCGTGAGAGTCAGAGGCTGTGCGAAAGAAGGGGGTCAGCTTGGTACTGACGCATGCCACTTCCACGAAACGCCTAATAAGGGGCCAAAATGGAATCCCAGGTGCATTACACCCAGGGAATTTGGGGAATAGACGCGCAACTCCGGCAAATCACGGGCGCCGAGGTGGCATGCGTGAGAGTAATAGGCTGTGCGAAAGAAGGGGGTCAGCCTTGTACTGACGCATGCCACTTCCACGAAACGCCTGAAAACGCGGCCAAAATGGAATCCCAGGTGCACTAGACACAGGGGAGTTGGGGAATAGACGCGCAACTCTGGGAAATCACGGGCGCAAGAGTGGCAAGCGTGAGAGTCAGATGCTGTGCGAAAGAAGGGGGTCAGCCTGGTCCTCACGCATGCCACCTCCATGAAACCCCTGACAACGCGGCCAAAATGGAATCCGAGGTGTACTAGACCCAGAAAAGTTGGGGAATAGACGCGCAACTCCGGGAAATCACGCGCGCCGGAGTGGCATGCGTGAGAGTCAGAGGCTCTGCACTATGAGGCACATGTGCGAAAGAAGGGGGTCAGCCTTGTACTAACGTATGCCACCTCCACGAAACGCCCGACAATGCGGCCAAAATGGAGTCCCAGGTGCACTAGACCCAGGGGAGTTGGGGAATAGACGTGCAACTCCGGGTAATCACGGGCGCTGGAGTGGCATGTGTGAGAATCAGATGCTGTGCGAAAGAAGGGGGTCAGCCTTGTACTGACGCATGCCACTTGCACGAAACGCCTGACAACGCGGCCAAAATGGAATCCCAGGTGCACTAGACCCAGGGGAGTTGGGGAATAGACGTGCAACTCCGAGAAATCACGGGTGCCGGAGTGGCATGCGTGAGAGTTAGAGGCTGTGCACTGTGAGGCACATGTGCGAAGCAAGGGGTGAGCGTTGCAGTCACGCATGCCACTTCCACGAAACGCCTGACAACACGGCCAAAATGGAATCCTATTTTCACCAGACCCAAAGGACCTGTGAATAGACACCTGTGAATAGACGCGCAACTCCGGGAAATCAGGGGCGCCGGAGTGGCGTGCGTGAGAGTGAGAGGCTGTGCACTAGGAGGCACATGTGCAAAGCAAGGGGTGAGCCTTGCACGCATGCATTCCACTTCTGGGAAACGCATGACAACGCGGCCAAAATGGAATCCCAGGTTCACTAGACCCAAGGGAGTTTGGGACTAGAACCGCAACTCCGAGAAATCACGGACGCCGGAGTGGCATGCGTGAGAGTCAGTCCCAACGCTCTCTGAGGCACAAGTGCAAAGCAGGGGGTGAGCCTTGCACGCACGCATGCCATCTCTAGGAAACGCATGACAACGCGGCCAAAATGGAATCCCAGGTTCACTAGACCTAAGGGAGTTTGGGATTAGACGCGCAACTCCGGGAAGTCACTGACGCCGGAGTGGCATGCGTGAGAGTCAGTCCCACCTGCGTTAAAGCCACATGTGGGGAGCAAGTGGTGACCCTTTCTCGCACGCATGCCCATTATCCAGAAAGCAGGTAACAAGAATAACCAACTTATCAGGTAGAGTTTATTTTGATCTAACACCAAATTCTTCTAACTAGTTCACAATTAATTGTGTAGCAGCTTGAGGGGAAAATTGACAGTTGAATCTTGGGAGAGTTTTTGGGTTCAAAACCTTGCCATATATTAAAGATTAAAGACAAACACATGTCACTGTTTTCGGTTTAAAGGTGGAGGTCCTGTTGCTGTCCAAATATATATCTCACTGTCATGAACATTTTTTCAAGTATATTTATATCCTTCCCTTTTAGATAATAACAGCTCCTGCTCTGTTTTGAAACTTATATTAGCAGAGAAGAGTATTTAGGAAACATTAAAATCAGACATAATGGATTTAAATTTAAAATATTTTCCTTTCGTAGTTACTTTAATCCTAAACAGTTTAAAGTAGTAACCAATTCCAAACAGTTCATCGCCATATTTTATTTTGAAAGACATTGTATACAATAGATAGACCCTACAGTTCACAAAAGTGAATAATTTGAACAGCGGTTGCTCAACAGCAACAGACACGTACTAAATAATCTGAAAAAATAAACAAACCTTTTTTAATCGAGAATAAATTGATTAGGAATCATATTGTGATTGTTGAACAAACTCACCAACTGAAACATATTCATACATGGTCAATACCCAGCCATTACCTAAGTCAACAATGATTTTATCAACAAATAAGTGAAAATTTTTTTTCAGACTAATATTCAGTCTTTGATTGATTCTAGTAAAATGATTGTTCCCTGGATTAGTAGTGTAAAAAAGCCTCATTTAAAACATGAAAGACCATGATAACTGCTACAAGTCTGGGCAACCCTCATGGTGTAATCAAAAGTACATTTCAAGAATGCCGGCCTATTACAATTATCTGATGAAATGGTCAGAACACTTCTACACAGAGGGTTACATAAGATCAACATGTTAGGCTTTGGAGCTGAAAAGGAAAATGGAATGGCTCTAGCGGGTAATGTGACGTCAAATTGAGAACACGAAAGTCTGCATTTCACACATTTTCGCCTGTTTAGGAATTTTGTCGTCGATATTGTCCGAAATATGCCGAATAGGTGTGTTGTATGAGGAATGTATGAAGCGCGATGCCGTCTTGCAAATTTCGCATGTTGCTACATCCTCCTGCATGCCACAGATCTGTAACCCACATATATGGCGACATGAGCCCAATTGGGCGCGAAGTGACTAACCTGGGGGTGAGGTCATTCAGCTAAGGGATGAAGTACTAGGGGACGTCATTGTACGGGGGCGGCGTGACATTCATTCTTATGGGCCTTAATAAGGACAAGTTTATCCAAATTTATTACACTATCATGTCTTCTGCAACCTTTTTATACCTTGTATTTAACTTTATTTCACTTTTAGTTATTTTCGTTTCTGTCTGTCTCCCTTAGATCCCGGTGCACCTGTTACTTTGGAGCCCGCCATCGAGGTTACTGAACCCACTACCAGACCACCTCCACTTTTCTCGCCTGATTTCCCTGGTAACCACAAACGTAGTTTGAAATCAAAGAGAGGCGGTGACTAATGAAGTAAGGTTAGTTACTCGGTATGAATAACTTGTTTAGTTAAACTTAGTCCGTGACGTTTTTCCTTTGTTCTTGTTGTTCTTGTTGCGTTACGTTTCGGTACATATACACGAAGTACAGTTTGGTCACATGTTTTTGGACTGTAGCTTCTCACACGTGTTGTATACCTCGAGCTCTTGCGGCTGTAAACTCTTCCTTTTATCGTTTGGTTCGCACAAAATGTGAGTAGGATTTCGATTAACGCTTGTTTTTAGGTATTCATTTGTTTATTCGTCCTTTTGTTTGTTTTCTTTCTCAGTTTTCACCGTCTTGTAACCGATTTCTCGTGACGTGTTCATACTATCAATTGTGATGGTCGAAAATTAAAGGAATATTACGGATAACGCGTCGAAGTTTTGTGCTATCCCCAACATAACTCTTCAGCTTTTCTAAAACTTCAGAAGGCATGATATGTTAACACTTCATCGCCAGAAAAGAAGTAGGACGAGAGGATAACGCTGCTGAGACCGATGATTTTGTGTTTGCGTTTGTATTTTTAAACACCAAGCCAAAAAAATACCAAAAATCTCGATGAAAATAGGTCGCATTTTTTCAATCTCACTTTTTCAATCCGTTTCGGACTCCACACGACAAACGCCTTGAAATAAAAAAATACTTTTCATGGTGTCTTTTGGTAATTCTCCGGTCAGAGAGCTAAAAATCATTCACCTATACATTCGAAAAATAGAAATTGATGCTTAGAAAAATAATATATCGGACTCATGTTTCTAACTGCACCTGACACAAATAATAGAACCCAACCTATATAAATGTTCATAAGTTATTTCCTTCTCCTGATTTCTACTTGCAGAAAATCACTGAAAAAGAGCGCCAGAGCAGAAACAGCGAGGAGGTATCAACTGATCGGTATCACTAAAGTGTTTAATAGCAATGTAAAAGGACGATGAAAAAATAAAGTAATTAAAATCGGAATGCCTGCGCTGTGGATTTTTGCCAAAATAACCAAACAAATTCCAAACAGATATTGAAAGTATACATTGGAATTTCGATTCCTGTATGAATTTCATGGCGGAGAGGTATATAGAATCAATTTTTGATTTCCTAGATGCGTTTTAATGTTTCAGTATTTTGTTGTTAATTTTGTTTGATTGTAACAGTAACATCTTTAGCAGTCTTATGTTAATCCTTGGGAAGTTATTCAAGGTATTTAGTGTTTGACACTATAATGCTGCGTACGCTTCATTTGGTAGTGAACCTCTTATAAAAATATTCCTCGTAAATCGGCAAGACCTTGTGAAAAGGAGGACAGTCCATCTCCTGAATAACTTTGTTAAAATCCTTGCCCTACTCCCCCCCTCCAGCATTCCGCCCTCATTCTGAAGGCGCCAACCTCTGCGTAATAGTCACTGCAATATAACATCCATACCGTATATATCGACATTTATTCATTAGACGACAAATTAGTTCAGTTTGATTGCATTCGAACACTTGTAATGATCAATACTGGCATGGTATCTATAATTATTAACGATGATCTCGGAAACCAAGCTGACGCCTTTAAGCTCTCATTTTATTCCTGTGGAGAGACAAAAGATATGCACGTGAGCAGTCAGTTTTCATTGGAAGACCGTCGCAATAAATCTCAGTATTGCACGTGGTCACCTGCATATGATCAATTACTGTTCAAACACTTAGAAAGAGTCAGGTCTATACCTAACCCACCAAGTCTATTTCTTTTTTTCTTTTTTTTGTCCTCGACCAACGATCATTTCAAGTCTAACAATGCTTTCGTCGCATGCACACACAAGCAAAGAGAATAGAACTAATTTAATTTACCGAGCGTGAAAGAATTGTATTTCTCAAGCCTGATCGGCAGCAATCAAATGTTATTGCTTCCTGAAGGGAGAGACCTACTAAATAGGGTATTAAGTCAACTTAATGAGTCCTCTCTCGATGCGAGAGATCTATAAAACGAAGTTCAAGTTTCGTCGTCGATATCATACTCATACACTCAGTACTGTTAAGAGTAATATTATTGTCTAAATGGGATTTTCAGTTTCCTCTTATTTACCTAGACCCATGGCCAATCCCTTTCTGAAGAAAATCCGGTAGGAAGGATTGGAGGAGGTCTGGGTGGCGCTTTTGGTGGAACTAACAAAAAAAAAACTCTATTAAAAATACAAAGTGATTGACAAAAAAAAAATTAGTTTTCAACCACTATAATTGTTTTTGTCACTAAGTCACTCAGCAGAAGCTCTTTCGACTGATTATTGATTTAATCTCCAGCCTCCCGCCCGCAAACGTTTTTATCGCTTATTAACGGGTCTACGTGTACGTGTCCGGTAGGCAGTTTACATACCCATCACTCAGCAATGTCACGTGACAGCTACTTTAAGATTATATGAAAACAAGGCACAATAAGTATAGAAATGGCCTGGGCTGGCTGATAAGGCCATCTTTAAAGATGTTAATACAGTGTTTTAGACACATAGACCTCCCCTTTGCTTAGATCGAGGCTTGGAGGCTAAGCCAAGTCGTACAACAAAAGAAATTGGCTCACAACAATTCAGTATATTGACTTAGCTGTGTCTGTAGGGAATGGAAACGAAATCACCTTTCAAATTTAAGACGTTGGACCTAAAAGAAAAGATAAAAACTGATAGATTATCACTTACTAGTGATGATTTGTATCCGTCCTACACATCTTGGTATTCCGTTGGGATCACATTCGCAATCCAGATTTTTTCCATATTTTACAGCGGTGAATCTCTCTCCAGGTTTATACAGAATATCCGAATCACCGCTGGGACTACAAACTACGCGGAGAAAAAAAGTAAAAGCATACCAAATATTATCATTATTGATATTTTCCCAGTTGTTTAGGTAGTAAAAGGTTTCATGTCACTTTACTCTCTGGGTGGCTTACGTCCAAACATTTTGAACGAGTATAACTACCCTTGCTATCTGGAGACAGTTTTTACTATTATGAGACAACAAAGCCGGGTTCTTCGAGAAATGTTAAAAGTTCTCTTAAGCTAATTTTATGTAACTCAAAAGTAAATAGAAATAAAGGCTGCCATGGAAATCAAATTTAGAATAGATCTCATACGGCTTACAGCAAACTCGGCCCAGAATTACACTCTTGTAGATTTTGAATCGCATTTCGTTGCGAACTTTTTTAATTCAAAATCGAATAACTCATCTTCCTTACTCTCTTTAATCGTCTTTAAATGAACGGGTGATCTTTTTTAAAAGAAATAAGGAGAGGTTTTCTTCCATGTCAATTCATAAAATCCCTTCCTTGAAGGGACCTGGCAGGGCAAATGGGGAGGGGGGGAGCTTTGTGGTTGCGTCACCATCAAATTTACCTGATCCTATGATAAGGCTCTATAACATTCTTAAGACTACCCCCCCCCCCACGCCCCTCCCACTCACTTTTACTTGATTGGCAGTCAACGTTAGTCCCCCTTCATACTCTATTCTCGCTTCCGTTTCCCTCGAAAATCATGTGATCCCCTACAAAGTCTACCTCTAATTCTGATAAAGCTATCTTTATTATAGTTCAATATATATATGATTCTTCCAAGGCCGAAAAGCTGGCTCATGAATCAGACTTGCCATACTTTCCAGACAAATCAGTGAGTTTCTATGGCTCCAGCAGTTTAATCACACCAGCTTAGCCTATTACTCTATCTTTAACAGTACTTTCTCACCGCACTTTTTTGGGCAGCAGTCCGCCATCTCATCAACCACTACCTTCGGACAAATCACTGGAATTTCGGGACATTCGTACATATACTTCTGTGGGTTGCCATATTCGTCACAACCTTTCTTTTCACACACGGGGTTGCGTTGTAAAACCACTTCCTTACAATCAGGTTTTACTGAATTTGAAATCAAGCAAAAGATTTCATTAGAGGGATCAGCTTTCTGTTTTATGGCGAAATATCATGGTTTGATTACACAGAGATGCTTAAAATGCTAATTCTAGGCCAGTTTTGCAATACATAATTTATTCATCAATCGCCTAATTATGATAGAAGATTTTGTAGGATGTCATAGCACCCGATTCGCCTTTAATCTACCGCTTATAAGCGAATCTAATTATACCAAATTACCGCATACATGCTGATAAAGTAGGACCTATTTACCTACCGAGATTAGATTACCGAGAGCAAAACAAAGGCCAAAACAAAAGAAAACAAAGCAAAACAAAACAAAGGAAATGATTCCAGAATGTTTTTCTGTTCTTCAGTAATCTTCACGCGTGGAATTTTATCCATGATCTCTTTTTACCATATGTAAAAGCGATGAATTTTCCTCTTTCGCTTGAACCTTGCCACATGTCAAGTGCGACTGCGATACCGAAGACATTCTGAAATCATTTCCTTTGTTTTGTTTTCCTTTGTATTCTTTTGTTTTGGCCTTTGTTTTGTTCTCGGTAATCTATTCTCGGTAGGTAAATAGGTCCTACTTTATCAGCATGTATGCGGTAATTTGAGAATAATTACGTTCGCTTATAAGCGGTAGATTAAGGGCGAATCGGGTGTATAAGCGGTAGATTAAGGGCGAATCGGGTGGTCATAGCGTTTACCATTTGGCTCTTGTCTTTGGTAAATAAATACCCATTCCATGAGACTTGATCTAACTTCACCTTAATAACTTACCAAACGACCTCTTTTCTCTACGCTGAAATAAAGACGAAAGATAGAATTACAACAATATTTGTGAAGATCATGCATCATTTCTACATTCACCCATGTGTGTTTGGAAAAAAAACAATTGGATCGAGAATTGGAATAAGGTGAATGGTTAGGTGAAGAAGATACAAGTTGCAAATTTTATTCTAGATACCAAAGCTGGGATATAATTCCTTAAGCCTGAAGCTATCACCCGATGACTAGCGAGCAAATTTGAAGTATTGTTATTAGAGGCTGTCTTCAAATTTGCCGATACATTGATCATGAAAACCCTAGATTCCTCACGATGATTCTCCATTCACTGAGCAGTGGTGAATACTTGACGACGAAACTACGAATTATTTTCCTCCTGTGACCATGTGATTCTCAATTTTTTTTTTCGGTCTGGCTATTTTAGATGCTGCGGACTATGTGCGCCGGAGGAAATTTCTGACATTTTGTTTGAATAAAAAGGAAAATCCTTACGTTAACTTCCTTTACTGTAACAAAAATTTGTAAAAGCCTTCTTGCATCATTAATTTTTAATTCAAATCAACGTTTGCCCGCAAGACAATTAAAAGCGATTAGCGTAGCATTCGAATAAAATCTATTTCCGAGTCAGGTTGCCATGACAACTCAATTTCGTATTACTTCTAGTTAATTTACGCTCTTTAGAACTCTGAGTAGCCAAGGGGACGATCAGGAAACATTTTGTCGTTTTTGCATGATTAAAACTGATGGTACTATTCGCAACTAGCTATCAGTTTCATTAAGTTAATCTCATCAGAAATTCAGACTCGCGCTTAATTTGATGGGGTACTTTAAAAAAGATTAAGACAGAGAGTAATAAAAAATATATTCGCCTCTTATTGAAAAGTACTATTTTATTGCGCTCCATGTTTCAAAACTGCTGCAAATATTATCGAGAAAAGCTAAGGAATTTAGGGGGAATTTTCAAAAATACTCAATTCGAAAAACTCAGTTAAACAAATTAATAATTGCTTCGTTATAGGCTAAGAGAGCAGAGACGCAATTTAAGAAAAAAGATGTGTTCATTATGTCAATGTGTAGTATCGTGATATTGTACCACAATAGAGAAGACACAGAGATGGTTTCTTTCTTTCTCTTGAGAATTCAGTTTGCCTAGGAGGAAGGAATAAAAGGCATCAAAACTAAATACGTTAAGTGAGCAAACCTTCTCTCCGATTGCTCCAGCAAGCGTTCCATAAACTGTCACGCTGGAAATCAGCAGGACCAAGAAAACAAACTTCGTATCGCTCATGCTGAAAACCAGCTTATTCAGTTTTCCAGGACCTCTTCTGATCGCTTCTGATTAACAGATCGAGATACGATTGTTATATAGAACATCTATTACTGTTTAAAATTTGAGGACAATGTCCATCACTTTGCTGGGTAGGGCAGGAAATCCTTAATCACTTTTTCATTGGTGTTTTGAATTGCAGTTTAAAGAGTTAGGTAAACTTTTTCTTATCGAATTAGTTTGAAAGTAAATCTTTTCTTTTGTGTGATTTCCTAACCGTAATTAAAATCTAAATGTCGGAAGTTATGTGAGGACTGCTCAGGAAATATAGCTCGGTAAAATTTTGCCTTAATGATTTATTACTGTTCGGCATAACTGGTAATGTCAACTTTGTTGATATATCCAAATTATTTCGTTACCCCCACCGACGCAGCCCCAAACAGTTTCTTTACAAAATATCAGCCTTTATTCATAACTGGTAATGATTTGTCTCGACTGAAATATATTTCCTTTAGTTAGTTTTCAAATAGTTGCATTATCCAATATTTTTATTTCCGCACAAACTGTTTTAATACTGGTTATAACTACTCGCTACAATAGATGGTCTTTTTAAGCCGCCTCTCAGTAGATATGAGAGACTTTGACATTAATTTGCAGGTAATAAATTTGAATTTTTTTGTTTGACGTTAAATCGGGTTCTTGTGTATCTACGGAAGCAGGAAATATATCATGTGTTACGTCTATTTGCCGACAACATTTCAAAGTCAAATCGATCACGCCGCTGTCGGAGATTAAAATGCTAAAAAAGTAATAACGATTCTCTAACATGGACTACCCAATTATGACAGTGAAATGCGACAGAACACCAAATTGACACACACTGTTTCAAATTAATAATTGTTAGGATTTTCGGTCACTTGTTTCAGATGCACACAAGTTATATAATCTAAATCTCCATCTTGTGTATCTTACAGACATTCAGTAAATAAACTTTACAAACAGTTGCCTCGTCCGACCCTTTCCTGACCTTATTGCTTCAATAGCCCTATATTCGTATTAGTTTTACCGAAAGGTGATATTGGAGCAGATAGATTAAAGTAAGAAAAGAGAAAGAGTCGATTTTTTTAGTGCAATATTTAACGTAGTCTGGCCCTGAGCGATTTCGTTTGTATGCTGACGTCATAAATCATATTCCAGTACTAATGCGTTTAGCCCTGCATTGTCTCCGAAAGGAACCACCCACGGGTCAAAAAGATCATGAAAGACGACGGAAAGAGCTTAATGAAAGCGCCGCGTGAATAGCACGTGATATGCGGCGCAAAAAAATCGAATTTTGTAGTCGGGCGGCTGCAGAGGAGCACAGGTCCATATTTTGGACTCTCCGAATCGTATCTGACTTACGAAAAAAAATATTTGGGGAAAACATCTCTACACGTGCACTGGCCGGGAATCGAACCCGGGCCTCCCGCGTGGCAGGCGAGAACTTTACCATTGAACCAACAGTGCTCTACGAGCTCTATATGGTTCTATGTTTGGGAACATTTTTACCCGTATGAGATGAAAACATTGGATAACGTCCTCTTGGGTCTTGCTCGTGATAAGCGGGGTAAAAAAATAGAATTCGACAACCGCGAGACGCCACAACTCTCTTTGAATATCCGAGACCAACGCCGAACATTTAATTAAAGAATTCCTTCGAAGAAAGTAATGAAATTGGACGAAAAAAGATTTGAATATCCAACCGTCACTGCAAATCATGCATGGTGTTTATTTTAGAAACCCCAAGTATGTCTGCAGTAAGATATTGACTACGAGTACACTGTCCCAAAATCCTTAAGTGAAAAGTACTTTAAAGTTTTGTTAATAAGTTTTGATTAAAATGATGGGGAAGCTTTTTCTCCTCTTTTTAATCCATCCATAAATCAATCGTTAAACGCCTTTAACCATATTCTATGCTTCTCATTCAATCCCTTAGCCTTTACATACCTCTAGCCTGATAACTTCTGTGGCTCGTCACATTGCGAAAGCCTGACTTGCCAACATTGTGACATTAGTGAGTCCTGGATGAGTTAATCACTTCAACCTAACTTGTTATTTCGTTTCCTCGGTAACCGAAAATCAGGGACGACAATCCATGGATCTAATGCACGTTTAACAGTTAACAATCCATCACTAATTCTAACGTAATATTTCGTTGAGCGCACTGGTGGTTCAGTGGTAGAATTCTCGCCTGCCACGCGGGAGGCCCGGGCTCGATTCCCGGCCAGTGCAGAGCGTTGGTGATTTTGCCCTAGTTGCAATGTTCCTTTTTTCGAAGGTTGAATCTGAGGTTCACGAGGTGACATCAAGATAAGGTACATCATTATGTAACTCAGACCTCTAAGATAATCCCCAATTTTATGATTTTTTGACTTTTTCTTTTCAGGCCAAAACTTTTAAGAACTTTACATGAGAAAAATCCAAACAAGGACTCGACTATATCGTCGGTTAGTTGCATTGTATGGCACTGTATTGTGCTAAGTATCTTATATTGTAAGTAATGGAGATAATTTAAGTTCGATCGACGATCGTGACATAAAATTTTACGATACTGCAAACAAAGTATTGGTATTGTGCCGCAGTATTTTTAAGTGTAAGTAGTTGTAGATGTGTTGTAAGTAGCGTAATGCGTGTTTTTTCAGTAGTGTTAGTAGATCATTGTAAGAAGTGTTTTTCGCAGATAATATAAAGTTATAAAGTTGAATAAAAGCAAGGACTCCACCTCATTCGATTTATACTTTCACAAAACTGAATATATTTCAGTTTGGTACCACAAAGGTGATGCTTATTGCTTTTTTTCTTGTTTGTTTATTTTTTCTTTGTTTTGTTTCTCCACTGGATATCTCTTATTAAGAAGAATTTCACAGCCAGTGACCGCGCTGATATCAAATGAAAGAAAAAATGACTATCTACAGATGCGCCACGATGAAAAGTTACAAAAAGGCCATTGTGTCTGGACAAAAACGATGAAAGAGATGAGAAAAGGGGCAACCGTGCGACCTCTTGATCTGCAGTAGAATGTTCTGCCAAACGGATATGCCCCCTAATCAGTGCGACTAGTATTTTCATTACAGTATTACCAAGTACGTATGATGCACGATCCTCGCAGTAGATAGCGCTATTTAAGCAATAGCGAAAATCAGACCTGTACGGGATTCGAACCACTGACCTCTGCGATACTAGTGCAGCGCTCTACCAATTGAGCTAACAAGCCAACTGGGAGCAGGCCGTTAAGTTGATCAATCAGGCAGTTCAAAATATATGAACTTCATATATTTTCTGTGTATCTGATTTATCACTTTCACGGGTTTATTACGAATCAACTTAACGGCCTGCTCCCAGTTGGCTTGTTGGCTCAATTGGTAGAGCGCTGCACTAGTATCGCAGAGGTCAGTGGTTCGAATCCCGTACAGACCTGATTTTTTTCAGGTCTGATTTTCGCTATTGCTTAAATAGCGCTATCTACTGCGAGGATCGTGCATCATACGTATCTAATACTGCAGTTCAAAATATATGAACTTCATATATTTTCATTGTATCTGATTACCAAGTACTCTGAAAATGTAACAAGGAGGAAAAATATTATCGCATCATTCCAAGCCCTATTCTCCACCGTAAAGAGGTGGCCTTGTTTTACGTTCGAAATTTCACTTGTGAATCAGTGATAAAGGTTAGGGTTTAAGTCACGTTTATTCTTGCTTTGGAAGCTGCAAATGTAAATTCACAAGTATTAGAATTCACATTTCAAAATACCCCCGCTTTCTTAACGCAACTAACTATGGCAAGTTACCATGGTGATGTCAAACTGTCTACCGCGATTTGGTGTTTTTATGTGAATTCATTTTGTCCTCTTAGTTTGTAAACTGCATGACTGACTTTCTTGGGTTACTTATACGCTAAGTTCCAAGGGAAAAAGTCTCTCTTTCGTGGTATATTCTAATAAGACTTTCTAAATCTGACAATTCAACAGTTTGATCATGACCTGCTTTAAAAACGATTAAAACAGTGGATTATAGAATTCCATGGTCTCAGATAAAAATAACGGTGTTCTCAGGATATTTTCTCAAGCCTCCAAAAATTTTTCTCTGGGGAGCGTTTTTAACCAATTGAGGACAATGCTTTTCCTTAGCACCTGTAGACTTGTTTACTGTTCTGCTTGTGGTCAAAGTCTCCCGGTAATCCTGAAGAAAAATCACCGAGTTGTCTTACTCACGACATCTGAAATATTTATTACTCGTAGAGATCCTTACAATCAGTTGAAGCGAGAAAGATCTGTTTCAAATTGATCGTTACCGCGAAAATATCCATGGAGTATGACTTGACTAAAAAGAAATTATTTTTCTGCTGATCCAATTCTATTGACGCTTGTGAACACGGTTTTACACTTTGCAGTGATTATGCGACAAAAATGGAATCCCACGACATTTGTGAGCTGAGGTGTTGTTTAATATATTAATAAGCACTGCTATGAACAACCGGTAGTCTTTACCTCTACAAACAAAGATCTAATTTAGCGGAGAAGTTCTAAAGGAAGAAAGTTACCGAGGGCATCTCCAAGTAAGAGTTAACACCTAGTATTTACCTACAGCTCTTGGTTGTTTCAAAGTATACAATTTATAGTGAGAGTTTAAAGAAAACACCTTTTTATGTTAGAGAGGAAATTCCATGTATCAGGTATTTTTCATCCCAGAGAGAGTAATTGTAAATAATGTGTCAAACGATAAATAGCCTCCTTGGAAAAAGTCGGTTTGTTCTCGTGTTGTTTTCCCTAACCGTGGCTCGCTTCACATGATCGATAACTTCTTAGACAAGGGAGTCAGTCAAATTGTCACGGTGATTTAATATTTTGATTTACAATATGGACTTCTTCATTTTGTTCTAACACGGTTATGTAATACCTGAATTTCTCCTTTTTGGTTTCTTTAGATAATTTCCAAAATGAAGACCTGGATAGCGATAGTCGCATCAATTGTTTTCGCTGCGGTTCTTCATGTTGAGAGTTCCGTTAGTAAGTATTGCATTGAACGAGGGAACTTTTGAAATAATTCTATTTTGTAAATTATCCTGATGAAATTTAATAACAACCCATTCTCTGCCTCTGAACGTAATCAACCATAAAAGGTTAAGTTTTCGTATTAATCGCCTCATTTATAACCAAAGCTAGTGTACTGTTCGATTTCAAAGGATTAGCTAAATGAGAACAGTCATTGTTAGAATGAAAAATGATTTACAGAGGACCCACGGCTTATCAAAGTTATCAATCGTCGCTGGTTAGTTTACCTGTAAAACATATTTCATCTGTTCGAGTTCTAATTGATAACCTCTCGAATCTATCTCACATGGACCGACGAAAACAGATCAATCCAAGTTATTTTTTTAACTTCTGAACCCCAAGTACAAGCGAGATGATAATTTGTGCCCGAAGACAGTTTTTTGCTTGATCAAATTCATTGACCACCAGTGCGAAAAACCTGTCACAACCGAAAGAAAAATGGAGAGACCTGTCTTTTTTCATGATCTTGATTAAGCCAACTAGCTACAAATTGGCTAAACTGTGCCATTTGGCTTCGCGATGTCTAATCCAGCAAGAAACGAATCTATTTCTGTTGAGAAGTCCTATGAATTTCGTGCGCTTGCGGTAGTGCATATTAATACACCAAAAAGCTTCAATATGGCACCAAAACTTCGATAGACAAGGAAGAAAAAAAAAATACTCCTGTTGGTGTCGGACATAGTTTTTTGCTTACCCGTGATTTCAGCCCTGTACGACTTTAACGTACTTCTTTCACCAAGCTTTTACGCTTCAATTTGCATGACTGATAATTTTTTTGCGAATGATAACTGGCAGTGAAGAGAAACTTATAATGCACTTCCTACAATTTGTGCCCCACTGTTTCATCAACTTACGCTAAGAGATTTTTATGCCGAATTGCATAAGCATGTGGGTAAGAATAAAACATCAAATCTCTCCACGTGCGGCGACGAACACGAAGTTTGAAATGTAAAAATTGTAACACCTGTTAAAAACTGCCCGTCTTTCGTACTTACAATTTTAAATAACGTACGGTGGAGTTTTTAAAAAAGTTTTTCCAAGTTACTTACATTGTATTTTTGCATTTCAGTTCAGAGCAAGCTCGCAGAATTGAGAGCAAAGAGTAAGTTTAGAGTTATTATGAAGTTATATGAGTTAAACTAGATAAGGAAACTCCACCACTTGCCAGTAAAATGTGAAACCATAATGTCCAGGACTGAGGCAAGTACCTCCAATTCATCATCAAACTCTCTTTCGGAAATATAACGTTTCTATTTTTTTTTTCACAGGGAGTCCGTGTGGGGCGTCTTGTGCTCCATCCTGTGCTCCCCTATGTCAGCCATCCTGTTGTATGCCCATTCCACCACCGCCTCCTCCACCACCACCACCCCCTCCCCCACCGATGCCAATGCCAGCTCCTCCCCCTCAGTGTCCTCCCGTTTGCTTGAAATGGACTACAACTATCAGCCCAGGGGGCGGGATGCCCCAGGTGTCTCCAATTCAGTCCACTCCTTGTCCTGATCAGTGCCAGCAGGCAGGCTGTTGTGCACCTCCACCAATGATGCCCCCTCAACCACCACCAATGGTTATGGGGCCTCCTCCTCCAATGGTAGCACCTGCTCCTCCCCCCGTTCAGCCACCACCACCTTGCCCGCCAGGTTGCCCAAAGGCTTGCTATCCTGCCTGTTCACCGAGGTGCTGCAACCCTCAACCACTTCCACCCCTTCCACCACCAATGCCACCGATGCCTCCCATGCAGCAATGCCAGCCATCCTGTGCTCCTACCTGCTGCCAGGGACCACCTCCTCAACCGATGATGATGCCACCTTTCCCTCCAATGAACATGCAACCTTCTCCAATGCAACCTCCGATGATGATGCCCCCTCAACAACCCATGATGATGATGCCTCCTCCACAGACGACGTGCCCCGCGCCCTGTGCACGATCATGCGCACCAAAATGTAAACCTGAATGTTGCGATAAAAGGAAACGTTCTGCTGAGAACTAAGGTACTCTGAATTGCCAGTCAACCGTGCATCTAAAGGACACCTACGTGCTAATGGCGACGCCTTATGCAAAAGGGTCATAGAAGGAAAAGTCCAAGATATGCGTTCTTCGTTTCCCTTTCTGCTGTAAATATAATGGACAGCCGTTTGTTTTGTTTATGCCACGAAAGAAGCTCAATATAGGGCTGCTCATCAATTCAATTAAACTGAACTAGGCATGTTTCATTGTGCTATTTAGGGTGGCTAATAAAAACTGTTAAGGTTTTGTTTCAAACTTCTTAGATAGCTTTCCTTTGCGACCGTCCTAAACACTTTATTTCCTTGCTCTGGATCTCTCGAAAAAAACTCATTTTAAGCCTTACGCAGAAAATGTTTTTCATCCCTGATGACGCCGTGGATCGAAGAAAGCTTGGGAGTTTTAAAAGATTTCAACATCAGTTTTACAGGAGTTTAAGGCCCTATTTCAACTTTTGTCAGTTTTATTAAATCCACTGACCTCAACTTCAAGAAATGAAATTTCTACAAATACCAAAACTTTCATGGCACTATACGCAGAAAGTGTTGTGAGCGACCATCTTTGGCAGCATTGGTCCCAATTTCTTTATCGCTTAAACTCTCTATTACAGAGCTGATTTATAGCACCAATTGTGTGACAATAATGCTTTCAAAATATCCAAAGGTAGCATTTGATGTATGGTATCAAATTAAAACTGGTAGTAGTGTAGAAAAACATTTCGAGTATCAGTAGCCCTGGTCTTCGAACTTTATGAGAATACCGAATACAAATTGCTAGGAAACAGCGAGTTTCTGCATGCCTCAGCTAAGACCCCCTGTGGCTCGTGCTGGTTATCGTTCACCACATACAACTATATATGGAGCTAGGTTTGAGTTGTCGAGTGGTCTATCTAGGGAAAGTCACCTGTATAACCATATGAGCTGTAGCGAACTGTAAACCAATATTAGTGAGCACTCACTTTAATCTACTCACCTACGGTCCATTCTGCCGACAAAGACTATCATCGCGTCCTACAAGTAAGACCTCGTTTTATAATTAAGATGTAGAAAATTGAAAATTGTAATGGGGAAAGAAAGACGACGGCAGACACGATCAAGGAAATATAAAATAAGGGGACAACCTGATTGAACCGGTGATCTCTTGACCTGCAGTCGAAAGCTGTTCAACTGAACTATGTCCCCATCTCCTGCCTACACAACGCTCGAAATGGACGATTAGGGTCAGCCCTGTTCAATATCCCAAACTACCACTTTCGTGTTCCCATTATGGCTGCCCTTCTTCCCATCTTGTAACACTCTTTTTCTGACTTTATACTTAGAGAAACAGAACTTAAAAAGATCAGTGCTAGTCTTTGAAAAAGGCTGAAAACTTTAAAAGTCAACAGCACTGCAATAACAAAAAGTGTCATAAAGGCCAGCGACGGTAGATAAGTTGTTTTTCTCATGATAGATAGAAAGGATCTAGCCTCAGGCGAAGTCTTTTGTTTCAACATAATTTAATTGACAACATAACATCAGTTGTATATAAGACTAAGCTGTTTTCTCACAGCCGCTCTGACAACAAAACGATCCCAAGAACTCGAATTCAACTAAGACATATAGTCAAGTTCCATTTCATCACACTGGAGTAATCCTTATTTACAAAGACATTCATCCTGAATTCGAACTCTTTTGAGATTGACGCCAGTTAGTCCACTAACTATAGCTTAAAAACATGTTTTCAACACAGTTACACTGCCCCAACGTTTAAAAACCCAAACGCTGGGTGCTTATCCGCAATTCATCTTAAAACAAAGTCCTTGCAGCGTTGAATAAGCAGCCATCCTTCAGTCTTCTTGTCTACTCTTTGTCCTTCTTTTCTTCATCGTTCTTCTTGCCCTTCTTGTCGACTTTTCCCTTCTTGCAGCAGGCACTGCATGGTGGAGTGCAAGTTGGAGGACATGGGGGTGGGCAGGGTGGAGGAGGAGGAGGGCAGGGTGGTGGGCATGGGGGTGGGCACGGTGGCGGACATGGGGGAGGGCAGGGTGGAGGGCATGGTGGTGGTGGGAAGTGGTGTTGTTGAACGTGGACTGTCTGAACACTGTGGCATGGGGGTGGGCACGGAGCGGGTGGAGGTGGTGGAGGTGGTGGAGGTCCAGGATGTGAGTGGTGGACAAAGACATGAGCGTGTGATTCAGTGGAGAAGGGTGGAGGAGAGGGCATGGGTGCTGGAGGGGGGCCTGGTGGGCTGGCGTGGTATACGTGGTGGTGCACGGTGTGTCCAAAGTGACATGGTGGTGGGCATGGAGCTGGAGGGGGAGGAGGAGGGGGAGGTGGTCCTGGGTGGAAGTGATGGTGGATAAGCCCTGCCTGACTACTTGTTGCTATTGGTGGTGGTGGAGGTGGAGGGGGACAGCATACTGGAGGTGGAGGTGGGGGTGGTGGAGGTGGTGGGCAGCAGGTTGGCTGACAAGGACAGGTTGATGGGCATCCGTATCCGCATTTCTTTGCACCTAACGGACCATGAAAGAGGGAGACAATCAGTTCTTACAAATCTACTCTAAATCAGTTACACAGATAATTCTCAATTAAGACATCCGTATGACTAGAAGAACGCTGTTCTACATTTAGACAAAATATCTAATGACTGTCTTATAAACACGTTTTATTTCATCGACAAAAGATGAACTCAAGGAGGTAGCCACCAGAAGAAGAAAAAATTATAGGCTAGCATAGGGAGGTCTGTTTGTTTGTTAAAAAAAGGTCTCTTTCTTTAGTCTCCCCTCAGATTTTTCAGACTTCAAATGCTTTTTCTTCTAAAACGGTGATCATTTTCTCTCAAAAGACTCTCGAAGACCGAGGAGGGAGTAAAATGTAAACCTTTCATAAGTTGTTTTCAATGTTCTTTTTCGGTGGCTCCTGCAGTTTAAGTCTAAAACTGCAAGATTACTTCTGATTTTTACTATTTTCGATCTCTAGAGGAAAATATAAAAAGGTACGCTGGTTGACAGAGAATGAGATCTCTTTTAACATGAAATGCTTTGCAAAACAAGCGTGCGTGAACGACATGTCATCATCAACAAGCTTAAGATCTGTGTCAAGAGGACGAGCGCGCAAAGTCACGTGACCAGTGGCACTAGCTGGAAAGTTGCCTTATTTGGCCAGAAAGTGTCTGAATTCTTATTAGGTGACCGAAAAACAAATTTATCTGCTCTCTATGACTAGCGCGCGTCTCCAGTGATGGCATTAAGCTTACTGAAGACGGACAGGGTGAATTCTTCACGTCTATCGTTACCTTATAGTTGTTTCATTTGTATTTTGAGCAAACTCGAATCTGTTCTATGTTGTTTTTCTTCATTAATCACAAAAGTTTAGCAAATCACAATTTTACTGATTTTCAAATCGCCGAAGGTTCTGAGGAAAGTAAACATGTCAGGATTTTTTTTCTGTTAACAATCAGTTATTCACATCGGTTCAGATGCTTTCGTCTGTTAACTGGTGGTTGCTTTATCTTGTCAAGTGACGAGATTATAACCTGTTGGTGCTTTCGTAGATAGTCCCACTCATTTGATTGTTGGCTTAAGTTCTCAAAGATAAAACCAAAGTCGTTCCCTTAAATAAAATTGTCAAGACTACTGATTTTTTTCAATCAATAATCTCAAGTTTTTAGAGCTAAGCCATCAAGCTTTATAGGACTAGACGTTTTATAGTTTTGGAATGTGTTTACCAGTGTTATGACCTATTGGAATTTTGTTATTTCTTTGCTTTTAAACGCACATATTTTGATACAACTTTTTTTCACTTTGTGTTTAAATAAAGCCTGTCCTTCTTTGCTACATGTTCTTTCGTAAAAACAGTCAATCAAAATCACAGTTAGTCGAAAGCAATCTCCCCACTAACTTCAGTAAAGTGACTGTTTCTGAGCAATTGCTGCTTAAACGCTTTAGTACAACTCTTTTTTTCTCAATTATTTCAGTTTAAAAACATCAAACACGGTGAGCTTTGAATAGTTATTTTCTTACCTTTAAGCTGATTTAGCTTCTTTTTGAGGATTTTCTTTTTAGCTTCAACAGAGAAGGCGACCAGCACAATAAGCAAAAGAAAGATTCGCTTGTCCATGTTGCCTGATAAAAAGAAGAAAAAAATCATAGCAAATACATCCCAAGCTTTGCAAAGGTTCTTTCCCTTCTTTCCAAGGTTATTAAATTATTTTCTCCTCGTTGGGATGGTTTCCAAATTGCCTTTATCGCTGAAAAAATTTTCATATATTCGACGAGAATACACCAACACAGATATGTAGTTAGCCTTAAAAGAAAGCTAAACTACACTCCTTACATAAATTGTCTTTATTATTCTGCTCAACGGGGAGGTTGAAATATTTACCCCAGGACATTCGGGTATTAAAAAAAATAGCCGTCAGATTTAAATTTCCATTTTAGATTGGTATAATCGATAACACTTTAGGCACATACAGTGACAAGGGCCTGAAGTTTATAAAATAAACACAATTTACAAGATAATGCAATTCATACAATTCGAGTGGCTGAGTAATAGAAACAGGAAAAAAGCTGTAGTTATATAGCTTTATGTTATTGTAATTTAAGAAAGAAGTTTTGGGTTAAATATCTTATTTGATTATCACTATAGCAATTATGTATAGTCTGAGACTAAGACTCTTACCTTTTTCTCAGGAAAACCTAAAATCCCTGATTCCTCGGGCAACACAATCAAGAAATTGCTTCTTTGCTTTAAATGGAAGACGTTACGATGCGCTAATCGTTTGCACTACCCGTTCGGGGTTAAAGCTTTTGATTGGTTCGTGTATAGTTATTCATGCATGACCAAACGATCCAATCTAACGACGTAATCGAACAGCTATGGTCTATGACACGAGGCGCCCCTTTACACCGCTGGCCATTAATCTTTCACGACTTACTGGTGGTCTGTCTCGCAAAGGCTGGTTCTATGCAAACAATTCTATATCCAAGTCTTTCATAACAGTTTTTCGACACTTTCATGGTGTTTATATTGAGACAATGAAAACAACCTGTAAGCTATGAATCTATATTTTTACCAAAATTTATGGACCATAAAGGAATACAAAACCTTCGCTTAGGGGAGTCACAGTTAAGAAATTGTTTGGGGAAATCCTCCATAAGGGTCGTTCCATCCAATTCCCAAACCATATCCGTAACTTTCTTTTGTTACTGTCACAGACAATTGCTTTATTATTGACCGCTTGAGGTTTGCGAGTTGACATCTTGACCTGCTAAAGATTGATCAGGAAATATCTGTCATTCAATTGCAAAGGATGTAAAACTCACTTACCAGAGATAATATGATAGTCAACATTAAGGGTACTAAAGTATCTGAGACAACTTAACGACGGGTAAAAATTTTGCAAGTTAACAAATAAAAAAATATGTACGATGTGTCCGACAAAACAAGCAGAGAAATGTCTTCTCTTAGGTCATATTATTTTTCCAGGAATAGGCTGCGAGGAAATTTGGCGTTTCTGCTCTGTCTTTTTTTTTCTAATGTAATGTTTTTTTTCTAATGTTCTTAAGGAAAGTTTTAAAAAAGTCAATCCATTAAATAATGGCGAGTATAAAACCAGCCATGTCTAAATGGCTTCTGTATACACCGTTTTCTTTGAGTAACCACGCGTTCAACATCATCTTGAGATAAGCTTCTGATAAATTAACACATGACTATTTTCTCCATATTTATGAAGGTTAATAAAACAAACAGAAAGCAAACAAACAAATTGAAGTTGTAAATGAGAACAAGACAACGCGTCTTTTAATTTGGAACATTCATTTTTGCCTTATTTTTTCCCGCGAACTGCAGGAAAAACGTTGCTCGTCCACTCGAGATACCGCTTGTCATTCGTTTTAAGTTAGGTGTTTTTATTTGTCTATTTTTGTTTGTTTCCTTGATTATTTTGTCTGTTTTCTTCCTTGTGTATCGACCCAGTTTTGCAACAAGTACGATGACATAACTATTCATTTGAAAGAAATCTAACAAGCAAGGAGACTGGATGACATAGGGAGCGTGTAGTTGAACGGAAAAATTCTTCATTGTATTCTAGAAAAGTACAGTGAACCACTCAATACGTTTCTCATTAACAACATTTTATTTAGTTATTTGAATTCTGACGGGAACTTTAAGCTTCATAAAGGAGCGAGTACACAAATTTGTCACTAGAACGCAAAATATTCTACAAAACGTCCGTAAATAGATGTTACTATTACGTCAACGTAACGGATTTCCATTCGGTCGTTTTCCTGGCGAAGCAGAGTTCACCGCCGACGACATAAAGATACATCATAAAACAACCCCATATATCACAACATCTGGTTCGCAGTCACTGTCCTTGTATGTACACGGCCGACAACTTATGATGATCGCTTCTTGCAGCACATAGGTGGACAGGCTGGTGGGCAGACTGGGGCGGGGGTGCAGCATGTTGGTGGGCAGGGTGGTGGGCACGGTGGGGCAGGCACGACTATTGGGGGAGGAGCTGGCATTGGGCATGGGCAGGGTGGCGGTGGTGGCATGTATTCCCATACGTGCTGCTGGCTCTGAACGGTGGCTGGAGGAGGAGCTGGCTGAGGAGGAGCAGGCATAGCTGGAGCCTGAGGTCCCATATGGTGAACGTGGTGATGGTGGATGTGGGTGGTGTGGTGAATCTGCTGTGGTGGGGGAGGGGGTGGTGGTGGAGGAGCACAGCAGTAAGTTGGACAGGCTGGTGCACACATTGGGGCGGTGCATTGGTATCCACAAGGGATGGCGCCTCTCTTTTCTGTTGAGATACAACGTTATAGTTTGGGTCGCTTCATTGAAGACTTCGTGAAGTATAATTATATTCTTCTTTTCACGACTTTGTTGTACTTACGAAACACATTTTTGCGTTAAGAACAGCTAAGAGTAATTTTTAAACAACCTATTATATTAATTTTAGATGATTTTCCCTTGAGACTACCCTAACCCATGAGATATTCTACAACAGCCGTGTTAACAATTATTTTCTAACTTTGTCAAACCTATCTCTAAGGTAGACGCCTGCGAAATATGCACAAAAAGGCCTTAAAAACCTTTACATGCAGCGAGGCATTAGAATTAGTATAGGCTGGGGACGTTGCAGTTTTTATTTATAGTCAGTTGGCTCAGAGTCATTCAATTCAGGCAATGCGATAACGCACAATTTGTTTTGAATTGTTCAGCTTACTGTCTTGTGTCGTGTAAATAGCATTACAAGGAAATCTTTTTAAGAAAGCCGTGAACTAAACAGAGACATTGTTTCAAATATTTTTATCGCTTTTAAGAAGCGATAAAACTGTCCAATGTCCTTCTCAATTGGGATTTAAAACCGTGATTACACAAGCATGAAATATTAACTGATTTCCTCTGACCTTGAAGCGAAACCCAAGAGGAAGAGCTCGCTCCGGATTTCTTCAATCCTTTGCGATTAACATGATAACGAAGAAGAAATTCTGCTGTGACCATTAGCTAAAGAAATAAAGCAAATTAGATGGTACTCACCTTTAAAAGATTTTGCGCTGACGCACACAACGACGGCTAAAAGGAGTACAACAAGTCGGGCCATTTCTGCAACTGAAAATAAGAGATTTTTGTTACAACGTATCGCACGGTACTAAAGTCAACAGATAATCTTAAAAACACTTTATGATCTTCGAGCAAACATTTAAAACGCGTTTGTACAATTGATTCACTTAGATAATGAGGATCGTAATCGGAACGATAAAATCAAAACCCAAACCTACAAAGTCAGTTAAGTTGTAGAGACACTTGGCGTTATTGGAATTGAGATTGTGATTAGGCGGAATTCGTCTAACTTACCTTCTATTCAGAGCTCGGGTCTCGATCTACTGAGCGCGCTGAGAAGTGATTTCGAATAGAGGATCTTATTAATTATGTCGACATTTGACCAGTCGCAGGTCTTAGCCAGTTCAGTGGACTCCTATTGGCTGGCGATGACTTCGGATCACAAGATTTGGAGAAAGTCTATGAGTTATTCATAGTTTTGGTTGATTTCATTGCACACCTATGAGACCCTATGCAGGCCTCAATGACTCAAGAATTAAGTCATCGACATCACTCTGTCAATGTGGAAGCAGCGAGGCGTCGGCGCGTTAATTTCGCGGTAAATACCCCGAAAAATACCTCGTGGATGCGTTCCGTTCTTTCTCATTTTATGAGCGGTGATGTTTAATTGCTTTTTGGCATTGGTCGATTCAGAAAATGCTCGAAAATAAACTCTTTGTTTGTCGTTTGGCACCTGGTTATTTTTTGACATAAACCAAAACATTTTCGTTTGATGATCGGGTACCCGTAGGATGGGTGTTATCAACCGTTGCATCACAGGAAACCGAAAAACTTGTCGAAAACCTTTCCAATACTCCACAAAATGTTCTACTTTTCTACAAATCTTATATTTCCACGTAGTATTGTAAGTGCCCCTGCTGATGAGGGTTGAAACGTTTCTTTGTTCATGTTATGTTGTATTGACTAAGGGACTGGTGCTTGTATTTAGTAAATTTATTTGGCGCTAAAGGATTGTTTCAATTTCAAAAGAAGACGGCCTTGACAAGAAGACAAATTTTTTCTTAAGACTCCAGGTTAATTGTCCGAGAAAATACTTTGAATCATGTGTGATTCTTAATACCCCAGTTATCATACTTTGCGAGAGATTCGATTTCCATTGAAAATATGGAGTCATCATAACGAGTAAAAAGTCTTGCAACATTATTTGACGGCTGAACAAATAAATACTTCATATTTATTTATAATACCCTGTTTTTCCCCCAGTTAACACTGTACCCGTGTTTACTTCCACCTTAAAATAAAATAACGAGATAGCGATATATAAAGTCTGGGAAGGGGTGATGGTAGACACGGGTACCAAATTTATCCAAATATACCATAAAATTGAGAAAAACGAGTCGTCGATCCTAAACAGAAAAAAAAAACAAAACAAAAAAAGAGGGATTCAGAGCAGTAAGGACGATTATTTGAATTTCTTTCCATTTCCCTTGGGTCTGTTGTTGTTGTTATTTTATTTCTCTTTGTTCATTGGTAAAAAAATATGTTATAACCGTGTTTACTGGGGTAGCTGACCCTCATAACATTTCAAATATCGTTGTAAACCCAAGGACCAGTGAGTTAGATGGACACAGGATAATCTCGCTGTATTTAGAAACTCTGTTGTGTTGAATGTGTCGAGGTGAAATCTGTTAGACCTGCTAAGAATCACGGAGAACTTAATTTTTTTTCTTTTTTAAGTAAACGAGTCGTATACAGATTTCTGCGCAACACTACATATTATATGCGCTTCAGTATTTCCTTCGTTTGCCTTGTAAGGGAGGAATTCCTTAACTCCTGTCAGGTTGGAGCCACGCAAAAGAGTCTAAAGCCTGGAAAGAATACTGAACAAACAGTTCGTCATGTTATGTCAGCGAACTTTTGCCGCTCGATAGTTTTTGCAAACCGTCCCTCAAGCTCAAGGGTTAGACTCGCTAGGACAAGAAGAGCTGGGAGGGTCGGTTAGGTTTTTTTCTGTTTGACTTTCTTGCATCCGATTATCTCCTTCATTAATGAGAGTTTATGTTGTAAAGAAGGCCGAAAGTCCACTTAATTTGTCTTTAATATACAGAAAGTCTGGAAAGCTCAGTATTTTATTTCAGTGTATCTTTAATTTCGCCAGTGCGGTATACTACTCGTGAGATTATAAGAGGCAAAGGCAGTAAAATAAAGAAAAGTATAGTTTAAAACGCTTCACCTTTAATTAAATACCAACAATAAGCACATGTACAACTTCTCTCAAAACTTCACATTGGTGAATCGAAGACTGCGTTTATAATCACAGGCGTACGAGCATGCCTGTTAAAGGCATATCGCATCGACAGCGCATCGTCCTGGACGCTAGACACCTCGTGTAACATACACCGAAAAAAACCTATCTATGAAGCTCCGCAAAGTTAATCCTCATCATCCTCTTTGTCGTCTTTCTTTTCTTCCTTCTTTTCCTCTTCCTGTTTATCTTCCTGTTTCTCTTCTTGTTTGTCTTCTTGTTTATCTTCCTGTTTATCCTCTTGTTTCTCCTCCTGCTTTTCCTCTTCTTTATCCTCTTTCTTGGCAATCTCCTCTTCCTTCTTTTCTTCCTGATCACTGACTTCTTCTTCATCATCAGCATTGCCAGAGGCTTCATCCTCGATCTTTACCTTGTTCTTCTTACAACAGGCCACGGGGCAGGATGGTGCGCAGGTCTGCACACATGGAGGAGGGCATGGCGGAGGTGGTGGTGGTGGGTGGACAATGTGGTGGACAACTTGGTGAACGTGATGGATCCTCTGGGGAGGAGCGGGTGGGAGACAGGGAGGTGGGCAAGGTGGAGGCGGAGCAGGAGCCCACTGGTGGCTGTGATGGTGCATAACGCTAGCGGTGTGGCATGGTGGAGGGCATGGAAGAGGTGGGGGTGGTGGAGGAGGAGGTAGCATATGGTGATGTGTTACATGGTGGATATGGTGAACAGCCTGAGGGGGAGCTGGAGGCATGCATGGGGGAGGGCATGGTGGGGGAGGAGCTGGTGCCCACGCATGACTGTGAGAGTGTTGTACACTACTGGTCATACAAGGTGGTGGGCATGGGGGAGGAGGTGGTGGGCATGGAGGAGGACAAGGGGGAGGACAAGGTGGTGGGCACGGTGGGGGTGGTGGTGGGGGACAGCATGTAGGAGGACAAGGAGGTGCACATGACACTGCACATGGGCCGGCGCATTTCTTGGATCCTGGACTGGCCTTAGCTGCAAGGTTGAAAATCGGAAACAATTGATTAATTGCACTCAATTTAACAACTAATACATTATTTTAACGCTTTTTGTCTTTTATCATGAGTCAAATTTGAACCAAATGATTATTTACACATTTGGCTTCGCGCAACAGGTGGAATACATGTGGCAAGAATTTTTTCGGTTTTCTTTAAAAAATGTTAGATTAAAATAAGATATGCCTTTTCTTTTCGCATTTACACTAACGACCAGTTTGAGTTGAATAAAATCATAGTTAAAACTAGACAAGAATTATACAAATACCACTAATATGTATTGCCAGTGCCCAATAGATGTCTGTCTCTCCAAACGGAAAGAACAAGGTCTGATGATAAACGTATGTTTACAAGACGAAATTCACCAATTCTCCTTTTGTTTCGTTGAGCAAATTTAGGTGGAGCTAAGATATCGACTGACATTACTTCTAATACTTCGGTTTCTTCGACAATCTTGAATCTGAGCTTGCCTTTTTTTATTTCGGGAAGTCAAATTTCTAAAAAATTAACTGTTACCTCATAATTTAAAATTCTGTTACTAATTCAAATTGAATTGGAAACAGAAAGCTTACCTTTCTTGATTTTATTAGCTTTTGGATGTTTGCCGGCTTCGACGAAGACAACGGCCGCTATTAAAAGACAGACTAACAGGGCCTTTGTAGCCATGATGAGGCTGTAAGGATATGCAAAATTAAAGGCAAAATATTAGGTTTGAGTTAATCATATAAGCGAGATGAGTTTCTCTACTTGATTTACGAGTATAAATCCAAGACCGCTCCAAGACTTGATGGTCAATAAGTACGTTATCTACCACGAGTTAAGAAATATTTCTTTTCCTGTAACAAGCCTGAGGTAAGCGGTTCGCTTCCCTTCCCTTTACCAAGTCACAATCCCACGCTGTATTGTAATAAATTTTAAAATTACGCGGTTTTCGCTCGTCTGCTTTCTATTAGCTTGGCTAGCTGTAACAATTTCTCTTGAGCTTAGTCTCCTCGTTAGGAAACTGTATCATAAAAACTTGTCCAACTTACCGTATCTCTGTGGCTACTCCCTCAAACTCGGATTGAATTATGATAAACAGAAATAAAACGTTTTATGCCAGGGCCCCGATAACGCTAAATTATTTACCATTCTTTGTAATCCCTGATTCACTAAGGTCAGGACCGTAGAGCGTTAATTATTCACAACCTGTGAGGTGATTTGGGTCTCGCGCGTAAGTTCATATTTTGGGAAAGAGACGAGATTTTTGCTGCTGGACGTTTTGATTTCGCTAAATTATCCACCAATGTGATCGAGTGTTTTTCAATACTAGACGCCCATTACTATCGTTTTTCGAAAGGTCATTTTCTAACTTTACTATTCCCGGATCAGGTCAGTCCGTGTTGTAAATATTTCAGTATTCACCAGTTATGTCGTTAGAAATGACAAGGAAACACCAGAAATTTGTAGGAAAACCGCTTTGGAAGTCCATTTATCCTCTATCGCGCGTTTAAGTCTTACACAGTTATCAATCTAGAACCCTACATCTTCAAACTGGAAAGTTAATACGGTGTAAAATAAACTTAATTTTGCAGTCCGAAGTCACTAAGATTCCAGTGTATAACAAAATAATTTCGCACCAAAACATGTTATTTTGACTTTCGTCTGGAATACCTGTTCTTGGAAAAGAGTTAATCATTTGCTAGTTAACGTTATTTTAATATCTGAAGTGGTTTCCGACTATCACTGACGCGATAATGGCGCGACATTATGAAAAGGGGGAAGTTTATCGAGGGTACGGTACGGTACGGTACACGCCCTGTTGTTAAACCATGGCTATGAAATTTGATGTTGACACGGCTCATTGCATTTGAAGACACCTCACTCCATCTGGTAGAAACAAATATTTGGATCTTTAACCTCTTACAATCGAATCTTAATTTATAGAAACTGGAAGAAAAATTACGACAGAAGGCTGTTAACATTGGTAACAAACAAATTGTTTGTTGAAATAAATGATAGACAAAGCTATAAGTCATAGGTGAGACCTGAAAGCAATCTTTTGTTCACCTTGCTTGTGGTGTTTGTTAATCGTCAAGAAAAGATTTTTGAACGACAGAAATCGGGGTATTGTAACCTGTAAAAATTAAATTTTATCTAAACAATGCAATTTGTTTTGAATGCAAAACTTAAATGAAAAAAAAAAAGAAAAAAAAGACGACTGCCTCACAGTATGTTGTAAAAAAACTTCTTTAACTTTATGAATGCCATCCAGACAGTTTTTTTTTTTAATCTTGAGTTCAAATAAAATTTATGTTCATCTTTAAAACGGCATTTACTCGGAAAAAATGTCACTTTCGTCGATTTATTTGCATGTCTAAAAACTTTACTGCCGAAATGCACCCAGGCAATTAACGAAACAGACCCAAAGACAAAAAATTGAACTGCGAGTTAATTCTCTTTTTCCTAGACAATCAAAACGGCGTGGAAGAATCCGACAGAAAACGCTTTTGAGGTTAGCAGCTAAGAATGTTACCCAGAATATCGCCACCTAGCCTCTCTCAACAATTTTGACATACACAAAAAAATACTATTAATGAAAAATCCCCCAATTAGTTATATCTAACCTTGTTATATCGCACAAATTAGGCATATAATATTTCTGGGAAGGTTTTTTGAAGAAGTCTGTCATTGCAAAAAGTTACCAATTCCAATGTAACAAGATGGCCTTGCTAATGAAATAAAACAAATGATTTTATTCTGCCAATTCAACGTCTCACTACATGAGTAAAGTGCAAATCCAGTGGCTTTTGAGTACAAATCATCCTTAATCGCAAATAAGTTATTTTTAAAGCAGAATTTTACTACTATATATCAATGAGGAATGATTTTCGCCTGGGTGTACAAATTGTCTAAGGCGCAGCGAAAGTAGTTTTGCGTTTGGTTGATTAAGTGACTTTAGGCATGACCGAGCAGTCCTACATCACTTGAAACTCTCAAGTAAAAAATTACTCCACAGTTCCTCCATTTTTATTTGTTATGTCCTGTGAAAAAAATTAAAGTAAGAAAAGATGAAACGTCGATCCCACATGCCCCAGAAGTGACGGACGTTACGCTATGTACTACGCCCACTGCAAAACCAGGTACTGTTCGAATGTTTAAGGTACCAGTGACAAAGGTAAAGGGTTTTAGATAAACAAGCCGCTGTCCTGGGGACACAAGCAATAATAGAGGGCTTTTCGACTAAGTGTCGTAAAACTAAATCCAACGTCATCCCACGGCCAATCACAGCAGGAGAAATTTCACCAGAAGCCAATGACAACTCGAAAAACAAGCAAACTGCCTGAAGGGAGTGACCAATTGCAAGTTGCCATTGATTTTAGTTTAAATCTGATTGGTCGAGAAATTAAAGTGGCACAAGTTTTCTGAACTAATCTCATAACGAAATAAAACGAATCAAAGTAATATTAGATTATTTCCATAAGGTCGTAGTAGTAGCAAGTATGATAGTAGTAACAGTATTTTTATAGTCGTAGTAGTAGCAAGTATGATACGCAAGTTGTCTATTTCCTACAATATTCGATTACTTTCCTCACTCAATGAAAAGTGCTCTGAACATATTCGTAGAAGTAATTATGAATACGAACTTCCTCTTGTGAAAAAAAGTTACACTAACAGATAAATAACAATAAGTCTGATGCAGGCCTCATATGATGTTGGAATAATTACTTAAATTACTCCCTCATTGAATCTTAAAACCATGCTGACCACGATAACAAGGCCTAAAGACATTTTATTAATTTTTTATTATTAAAAATATAGTTTTCCGACTAATATTTTTATGACCTCATTATATGTATGTACAAGACTTTTGCCTACACGAAAATTAAATTAAATTAAATTAGACAGTATTGTACTATTTAAATAAAATTTCAGCAGTTTAGCCAACCGTTGACGTTGTCATTACATTTGAACCTTCTTGTACAAAAATATGTCTCTATGGTGTAAATCTAAAGGCTCTATTGGAATATGGATAAAGTGGCGTTAAGGGAATATTTGAATTAAAAGCACCACTTACTTGGATTTTTGTTTCGATAAGACTTGACAGGATGTCGTTAAATGTTTACCTGTATCGCTTAGTTCTCTTCACTTCAAAACTGAGCCTTACATTGAAAGCTATTGATCTCTGAGGATTTCCCTGGAAGAACATCGGACTAGGAGGCTAAGAAAACCTTAATATTGAGTTTACTCCCTCGAGTTATTTTTAGATTCAATGTATCTGTTATCCTAGGAATCATGCTGCACGTTTCAAGGGCGTCACTTGAACGTTTTGGAGAAGAACCAAAATCACTGCATCGAAAAACCACTTAAGAAAAAGTTGCGACACATGGTTGGTTAATGTAGTATCTCCCCAGGGATCAACGAAAAACGACAGAGTCCGAGGATAATCAAGAAGACGTGACTTTAGAACAATATCTCAGATGGTGGATTCAGTCCAGTTGGACCTTTCTCCTGTCAGGTGTGAAATTTCAAAGTATTCTTCCTTATTTGGATCGCACACGACAGCCCATATAAAGATTAGAAAACTGCCTTCGCCGACAGAATCAGTTACTATTGACTACTGGACAGTATGTCCTACAGATGCCTACAAATAACTACCAAAAATGGTGGGAGAAAGTGGCTAGTGAGCCAAAAAGATTCGGGGGGAATAAATAATCATTCGATCTGTAATTAACTCAGTACCACTATTCCAAAACATTGTTAACTCGAAGTTCTTGTTGTCATTGCAAGCTTGCACCTTTTTGAGGACATCTCGGAAATCCGTTTAAATCCTAATCTTCTCGCTGCTGCGTTCCTCCCGAATTATTTTCATGACTTAAAAAAATGTTCTCTAAAATCAACTCACACAATGGGGTTTCACTTTAGTGTCACACAACATTCCTAGTTACTTTTCTGCAACCATTTTATCCTCGTACTTCAAGAAGATGAGCCACTGCCTGCATCTCCCGACGAAACCAGCAGATCACTGCTTCGCAGAAACCCCTGCTCGCTATTATCCTTGGTAGTTTTCTTATGCTCGGTCAGACTTGCTTTCTTCGCTTCTGGTTGTGATTTCACCCGCTGAATTTTAGACCTCTTACTAGCATCATAAAGAGCGTCCTCATCAAGGTCAGAGGTTGTTTCCCCAGACGCAGACTCAGAGCCTTCAACCCCACCCGACGCCTGCGCAGATTCAGGTGCTTTTGTGGGAGCAGCGAGTTTGGGAAGGGGCGAAATAATAAGAGCTGCCATTTCCATTCGACTCATGTCTGAAATAAAAGAAAAATTGAGTCGCTTTCGATATAAAGAATTCCTGGTGGGCGTATAAACACGATGTTGTGTTTCTCGGGAAGGTAAAACTGAACGATTGATCATTTCTCTTTGGGAATAACACGGCTTTGAACATAAAATGAATTTAATTTTTGGATACGACAAGGTGTACAAAAAAAGCCATCATTTTCCAGTACTTCGAAGTAAAATCATAGCCAGACCGTTGAAAACAAACAAAAAAAAAAGGATTTTGATGGATGTTACCTGCCGTCCTTTCGTTCCACTGTTGCCACAAAGGCTGCAAACGAGCTGGGATGCGAGGAGCGCAGGTCAGCGGTTGACAGGTCTGAGTACAGGGGCTGCAGACTGGTAACGAGCATTGTGCACACGTGTTACACGGACTACACGGGTCTGGTGGAGCCATGTAAGGACTTGATGACATGAGATCCGGGATTCCCATACCAGGGACATATGCCGGGGGAGGCTGTGCTGAGAATATGATAGATGCAATATTACTGATATGAGAGGTAATCATGCTAAAATCCAGCAGCGTTATCGTGTATCATTAAAGAGGTTATGAATAGCGTTCACGGTCAACGACAATTATTGATGCTGTCTATCCACGTGAAAATATTTTTATGGTTAGAAAAGGATTTCTTTTGTGATTTCTCTCCAAAGTTTATCGAGTCATTATGAGGAAAGTAAGCTGAATTGGAAATAATTTTTGCCGTAGACATTTCTGCATACGTCATGTTTAAAATCATTCCAAGCAAACCAAAAATCAAGAATGATTTCCTGCCTTTTTATCATTGGACACAAACTCTCTATAGCCCAAAATCATGTCCAAACCCTTAAAAGTTAAAACTCATATCACTTACCATAAGGAGCTGGGGCATAGGCGACTGGAGCTGAAGGGGGATACTGCGGAGCGAGCTGGAAACTAGCTGTAAAGAAAATTTACCAAACTTCCCGTCACATAAGAAGATATCCTTGGACTGAGATCGAAAAACGCCTTTTATTTACTAAACACAATATTTCAGGTGATTGACGCACTCAGATTAACCAAACGGCGGCATTTTCTATTCGATGGGCATCTTTATGAGAGGAAAATGGTTGTAATTTTTGTATTTGGCAATTAATTTGGCAATTTTCTGTTTATACTCGGTAATTTACTCATAAAGTGAGAACTAATTTACTCTCTGTATTTAGAGCATTCCTGAAGGAAAATGATCTGAACATGGAGTCTTAATAAAAAGAAAACTCGAAATGCTAAAAAAATCCAATATTCTAAAAGTTTCCGGTTAACATAAATCTACATTCACATACATCTCCATTTGCGAAACGTTTCAGCGAAATAACTCAAACTAAAAGATGATAGACATCGCACGTTGGTTCTTTGATAAGCTCTAATAATTATGGTAACTTTCATGCCTCTAATACGTTTACTAGTGGCAAAGTATCAATACAGAACCTACTCAAGCGCGACACGGAAAATATGTTCAAAGCACCAAGTAACCATGAACACATGTTTTCTATCTTATACATTGTGATAATTTACTTACACCTCAATATGGTACCAAATAGCTCACCTTGAGTGAATCCCGCCGCAGGAGGGGCCGGGTAAGGCACTGTAATAAAAACGCAACAAAACCAGGAGATTGGAAACAACACCAACAGAAATGGTTTCAAAGATAGTTGAAGACGACATAAACACACAAGTAAACACCTTGGAAAATAAACTGCGGTAACTGAAGTATTGACTGAAGCGGACCAGGCGAAGATTGCACGAGCGGTTCTGCTGGTGGCTCGTGTTTTTTGCTTGCTGTTGATACCGATATAAAATTACCAAAAAAGTTAGTCATGGAAATGAATCCACACAAAAACGATGAAGATCACAAACTCTGATTTATCCATCAAAACGAGCTTAAACCTTGTTCATGAGGCTTGGAATGGTATTTCCAAAGATCGTACCAACGAACTGAAGGTGCTAAAAAATTGACAAAAATACGAAAAATGATCAAGAGTTCCGACTCCTGGTCACATTTTGTCGACAAAACAAATCTGGCCAATTTGACATTTGATACGCGAGTTGAAATACCTGCAAAAGCAACATTTAAAAACGCAATGGAAACAAAAAATGCAAAAATTTCCCCTTCGGAATTCCTCATCGTACAGCCCGAGGCTCACCCAGATCGAAGTTTCCAATCTCCAAATGTTTATTTTTATGTTAGGTTACGTATTTCCCTGAAGTGTCTTTTTTGCGGGTAGATAATAGTTTTACTCTCACGTGATTGGTCGATGAAAATCAAGTCATAATAGCTCTTTTCGGATGACAATACAAAGCAGGGCGTGTTAATTCACTTATCGAGCCCAAAAATATTTCTGCACCGAAAATTGGCAATGAATTTAAAAAAAGGTGTGATAAGAATTGGCAATCGACGGAAATAGCAAGAAAAAAAGGAATGAACGGCAATAGCAAGAAAAAAGGGAATGAACGCTCAGTTGACGCTGAATGAAGATTTTAGAGTTATCGCAGCCAAAGGTTCCAAGGAATATTCAGGCTTATGATTTTTCTGTTCGACAGTCTCCTTGCTAGAAATGAATAATTATTAATATTCCAAATGAAAATTCCTGAAGATTGTCTCCACTGTTAATTTAAAAACCCTGGGTTCACCTTTCAAGAAATTTATTATTCTTTTTAACTTCATAGCCAGAAACGATTCATTATCACTCTTTGACCAGTTATAGTTTAAAGGTGCCATTATCCATTGCCAAGGCCAAGAACCTATTAAGAACCTGTAGACAACAGCTACAGCCAGTAAAAAAACAAAGACAACATCTCTAAATGTATATCTTTATCCGTCCAATTTTCTCTGAGGTCTTGTTCTTCATTGCATCCTGAAGAGTGGAAAATGGGACATACAAATACAAAAACCTAAAGCAAAGCTTCTACTTCTGAGCCTGTCAGTCTGATTAGTTAATTCAATTGTCAACGAAGGAATAATTTGCTGCCATAGGGGCTTAATAGCAAGAAGAGAAAGTTATTTACAACATGGACATAACGGTATCATTTTATTCCCAAAAGAATATCTACCATTTCGGGTGTACAAAAGACGGATACTTCTCATTTATCACCTGGATATCATATAAACACTTGTTTATTTCAAGTCACTTCTACGCAAAATCGAATGTCCCACCAGGCTCTACTCACATGGCCGAGTGGAACTGGACTGGACTCAAGCTTCAAGCTCTACTCAAGCTCATTTATTTGTGTTCTTGGGCAGAGGTCATTTTCTCTCCCAGTGCCAGTCTCCACCCAGGAGAATTAATTGGTACCAGTGATCTGTTAGAGAGATCTGACGAAATTCTGGGGGGTAGTCTCACATGGATTAGCACCCCACTTATGTCCAAATTGTAATATTTCGTCTCACCTCTCCTGCCGATCAAGATCAGAAGCATTCGAAGAAATTTAAAGTAATCCCGAATGTAGACCTCATTTTACCAATTAGTCAACTTACCCGGATTGTTCACGCAGTCATAGTTGACATCCAAATACTTATTAGCATCCGGGCACGCATCGCCAAACCAATCATTACTGGCAGCCAAATCACAGTCCTCTAAACCATCACAGCGTTTCTTCACTCTTTCGTAAGTTCCAGGGGTGCGGCAGAATCCTACTGGCATCGGATTGTTTTCTTTTAGGCAGCCGACATCACCCATGTCACCAAAGTCAGCATTTAAGACTCTTATTCTCTGTTCGGGCGGGCAGGCTATTTTCTGTATCGTGTCTTTGCATATGATGGCTCTTTGAGATGGTGAGGGAAAGACTCCACTTTGACGAGCTAAAATGAGCAGTAGGAAAGGAACCGATTTTGGTCAAAATTGGCTAAAATAGTTCAAAAAGGTTTGTAAGAAAACGCTCACTCTCAGTAACTAGTCATAAAGCAACTGCGATTTCAACTTCGCCAGGCGCAATTTTCAGCGGTTTGCACTTATTTGCACTGCGTAATTTTTTTCTTTTCCTCGAAGTGCTCGTGAAATCTGTCCTTTTTGTTGTCGTTGTTGTTGTTTTATGTAAGATTACGATTTAGATATCCACGCGTTTGAGACACTACATCTGACGATGAATTTCAAATTTTTAGTAGCGAAGCAAGCCTCAATTCGAGTTTAAATCAGACGTAGAATGTAATACACAAACGAATATTGCACAACGTTGGACACCCTCATAAACCCTCATAAACCCTTACCGTTGGAAAGATAGGACAAGGCTTTCTCTTGTTGTTGGTCTGCAGCATACTTTGACTGAACCTCAGCCACTTGCTTGGTCTCGTCTACTGGGGGCTTTTCACTCCCTTGTGCAGTGGAATCGCTTCTTTGTGCGTCACTATCAAGTGGTGGGGGTATGTCTGCATCAATGTCCTCGACTGTTTCAGGTTGTTCTTGCTCACTTTGTCCCTTCTGTTCATCTTCTTCATCTTTAGCATTGTCATTATCAGCTTTTTGAGAATTGTTGTCAGCTGCTTGGGCCTCGTTAGTTTCCTTTTGAGGCTCGCTGGCAAGTTTCTCTGAATCAATTTTCAGTGCCTCATCATCTCCTTGGACCGCCTCATTGTCTTTACTCTGTGTTTTTTCCACTGGTGACTCTGAGTCGCTTCCAGATGCTTCTGCGTCACTGATTTCCTGGCCACTAGCGATTAGTTCCCCGCTTGAAGCAGCAAGAGCTTCCTTAACATCATTGTCACTTAAAGTGGCGTCGTCATCGTCGCTGTCGTCTTCGTCAGCACCTTCGTCTACGGCCTCGTCACCTGACGCTGCTTTGTCAATATCATTGCTTTCTAAAACAGAGCGAGTTAGAACATATCAAGATGACAAGTCATACTGAGTAAAACAGTTAAACTACAGAAGGTGAAAGAGTCGTTATAAAAATGCTTAGGTATGGTAGACAGTAGACTATAGCAAAGTACTTAGGTAACGTCTTGTCATTTTTATTTTGAGATAAGTATTTACATTCATTTAGTGCGTGATTTTCTGTAGGTTTTGTAGCTTTTTCAGGTGAATATATTCGTCATGTCTTCGGTCGTACTCTCCTGACTCACTTAGTGCAGTCAAAGCCATGGATCTAAACCACTCTCTCTGTCACCAGTCTGTTTCCAACTCGTAGTGTCTAATTCACGTATTATCTTCATGGTCACTCGATCTCTGCAGTTGATTCAGTTCAGAGAGAAGTTCGTATAAAGTGGATTTGTCTTTTATGACGATTTGTCTTTTTGCCTTGTGATGTATGTAAAATGACTCAAAGGCCATAGCTCTGTCATTTATGATTTGTTCCGCCTATAATTACGATTGTCTTCATCGGTCTGAAGTGGTTGTTGTCATTGTACCAGTAAAAATGTCTCTGTCATAATTTCCTGTAGGAAAAACACGACAGCGATGAGACCATGCAGAAGGGTAAAAGACTTATCAAATGACAATTATGCAGGGAAATGAAAGTTTCGATCTTAATTCATTTTCTATTTGTCTTAATTAATTTTTTGTTTGTTATATTGTTTTGTTATTTTCTTGAAGCAGTGATCTCAATGTTCGATTTCAATCGACATTCCTGTTGAAGAAAACTATTCGAACAGTAACTTTGTATTTTGTTCAGTTGTTGACTACTGGTGAACGAAAAGTCTCATCGTACATCGTGTCAACCACTCACCGTCTCCTTGCAGCAGACCAGCGAAGTACAAGGCTGATTTGTAAATATCAATAGCTTGTTGTCGCGTCAAATTCAAGGGAAGGCCTGGCACTGGAAATGGAGGCATATTTGGGTTATTATTAGTGCCTGCTAACATGAAGGCAACTTTGGAAATATCATCTTTGAAATTCTGTTCGTCATAGCCGCTTCCGCTTCCACTGAACTCCGGCTCTGGTTCTTTGAAATCAGTGGTATCGTCAAAGTCCAGCCCTGGATCTCTTAGGTCAGCGGTATCATCCATGTCAAGAGATTCGTCAAATCCAGATCCCGAGCCTCCAGAGCCGGAACTCGGAACATCATTCGGGAGGAGGAGAGAGGTCTGATTGCTAGCAGTTGTGTTCTTTGTGAGAGTTTTGACAGGTTTTTCAGGAAGTTTACTTTGTATCGTAGATGGTTGAGGAGACAGCATACCATGAAATATCCTCTTTATAGTTTTATCGTTATCGCGGGAATGACTTGTCACTTTCAAGTTCTTCCCCCGATGTACAGGGACTCTGTCGCGAACGTCTTTCACGACTGGAAAAAAACTCTGAGGCATCATTCCCGGATAATTTACTTGGTAACCAGGACCTGCTGTGTATCCACG